ATTCTGATTTATGCCAGTCACAACGTGCAAGAAAAATTATGTTCCCAGCCAGTCAATTTGCCCAGTGTCAGGCCTGTGAAACCCCTGCTTAAGCTTATAGTATTCAGTGAGATATTATGGAAGCCAGTGTTGCCATAATGCCTGTTGTTGTTGGTCTTCTTACAGGGCTGGCATCCAAACATTCTTGAGCCATGGAAACCAAAAGTGGAATGTTTTGCTTAACACCTACTTTGAACAAAATTTTACCAAGGGAAAAAATATCACTGGCTTTGCTACAGGGAGAACCATTAAGAACCTCAGGAGTAATATGAGGATAACAGATGCTGTACTTCTTTGCAGGAGGAAAGGAGCTGTCACATGCTTTTCCAAAATTAATGATGTAGCCATGTTTGTTACTCACAAGAACATTATTAGCCTTCAAATCATATTGAAGAAAGCCTTTTGTGTGAATATGCGAAAGGGCTTCTGTCAAATCATGTGAAATAATTAACCAGTCATTTGTTATGAGTGAGCTTTGCACATTCTGTATTGTTGCACTGTTTTTCTGACAAGACAATAGTTTGCTTATTAAACGGTTGAGAATATATGAAAGTCAAGTTTGCTTATTGTTTACAGATGTATTGTCTTCCCCTTTAAACCCCATTATTAAGGAAATGGGCTGCTTTTGTAGCTGCACACCTATTATGATTGGGATATTTTTATGTGCGAGGGCCTGCTTAATGTGAGCCTCCTTCATTATCTCTGTGGTGTCCTGCATCAGAGATTGTTTTTCCACAACCTTTATATCAAATCGTGTGTACTGTCTCAGAAGGCATCGACCATAGGATCCTTCTCCCAGTATTATATTCTCTCCATTGGTTGGAAGAAGTTCAGTATGATTAAGTTTACAGTGGAATATTTGGTATTTGCATTCCTTTTAAAAAACTGGAAAATGAAGGCAAATATATCATAGAGAGTGTGCTTAAATAAATGCTAGAAAACCTTGAAGAGCTTCAAGGAATCAGTGTGCGTATCTCGCGATAACTTTCAAGTTTTGCGCCAAAATTGTAATTCAGTCTCGTTATATGATACCACTTGAGATAAAATTACAAACGTTCTTTATTCTTACCGCCGAAATTGGCAAGTTAAGAGACGAGAAGCTGGCGGGAACCCTGGATTTACAGAGATGCAATCGACCTCAGAAAACAAGAAAAAGAAATAAATATCATCAAAAGTATACAAAGTTTGCCTGTATTACTTCTAAGATTGCTCCAATTAGTATTTGGTAGTGTATCAGCCGTTAAATTATTGCTTCTGAACACTCGCGTGTCAAAATGGCGGACACTAAGTTGAATACGTGACTGCGAGTTTTCAAAATTCCCACCTCTTAGACAGTTTTAATTTGTCTTTTTTCCAAATAAATAGGAACCTGTGGGATTACTTTCGTTGATAGCGGTTGGAACCAGGTAAAGGCTACGATGTTTTCGGGCGAAAACTATGATAGAGGAAGCAGCTTCGCAGAGAGAAAACTTGATTTAATCTGCCTAGCACATCTCTCTTTTTTTTTTGGCAGCCATTCCAAGTGGGAAAACCATGAAAAACGTCTCAAATATTCATAGCGATAACTGCATTTTGATTTGCCTTGTGTTTAGTGGTGGGAATTTGCTCAAGAAAGCAACCGACGAATTTGGCGCCTAAATTAACTGTTTTTGGCTGTTGAGAGTATCATATTACGCTGCCACAATTCAGTCCGAGAGAGATGGTAGTGATACACATTTCTGCCAAGTATGAGAAAAATCCCTCGCAAAATAGCTAAGTTATTCTCAATTTTGTGAAAAATATGAGTTAAAAGCAGGGTGACCCAGGCCTTAATTAACCTGAGTTCAATAACTTCCACATAAGGTTGCTTGCACTTGCCAGTCATAGATGCTACATCTAGTTCTAAGGCTGCACAGATGTTCTTCAGTGTTTGTATCGAAAACTTCGCCAGCTTAGACTGATCTACGATCTCACAGATGTTGTATGTTTCGTACACGATGGGATGCTGAAGAGTTAACGCTTTCGTTACTTCCTTGGACATTTCTTCGATTGCCTTCTCTGTTATCAGCTCATTCTTTTCTAGTTATTCTTCCTCACTGGATTAATCCACGCTTTATGTTTTCTTTGCTGACAAGCGACAAAAAAAATCCTGCCATTTGTTGTAGTGTGGGATAGTCGCTCTTATCGAAGATATTAGTGCCGTCACTATGCTTTACTTTATACATTGCCTTGGAGACGCTTGTTGGATCTGCTCTTTTCCCAGTGTTTTCTCTAACTTGAAAGACTTCAGATAGTTTTTCTGCGCCACCGCGAGATTCTATGACAATTTATTAAACAGGGGTCAACTACAGAAACCAATCATTCGCTCCAGTCTTCTCACGGTTATCTTTCCTTTCGAGTTATATTTTAGAGAGAGTATGGATTAAAACATGTCAAAATCCCATATAAACATAAAACTGTCTTTTGCATTACGGAAGCTGATAGCAGAGATTTTTCGCAGTTCTAGTTTCCTGTAACCAGCCCAAGCAAAAATCCGCGGGAACCAGCCAAATATTCAACGCGTTTTGAGACAAAAAAATGTGGTGTGATTAGTCACCAGTTCCCTCTAACTTTACAGAGACAAACAAATTGAATGGGGAGAGCCTACATGGTATGTGCCGCCTGATACTTGACAGAATGACAAAGGGCAAGCTGACTATAAATATCCTAACGTGGATCAAAGCTTACCTGATTAAAATTTTCCATCTGCATTAATACACTAGCGTCAACGGAACGAGGAGCCAAACTTACTATGACTGTCGACTCTTTTTCCTCTGCTGTAAGCAACCTGAGGGTTTTTCGACAAGATACGCAAATACCTAAGAAAGTTAAAGTCAAAGGCTTCAAGTCAATTTTCTTTAAGAAACGAAGAGAAGTCAGTAGAGTGAAACCAAGTTTGAAAAATAGAAACTTACTTGAAGAAACACTCCAGTTTTTTTAAAAGTAATTTTCCCGATTCCTCGATCGCATTTCGGCCAGTTTTTGCGTTTTCTGTCATGATTGGATAATGCCTCTGGCACTCCACACCACGCAGTAGATCCCTGCCTCCAGCCTAAACCAAGGTTTTCGCGATGCAATGGACAAATGGTCATAGAATTTATGTTTGCAGGTTGAATCAATACCGCTGCTCGGCTGAGGATAAGGTCAACTTCGTTCTCTGGACCGAAAAATCCAGGCTTGCTGTATGGTTGGAAATTGGTTTTGAACAGATCAGTAAATCGCCCTAACTTTCGCATTGAAAAAGCGGCCTCTTCACAAAAATTCTTGGTTATCGATTTTCTAAAAACTAATCAATATTTAGCCTAATGAACTATGCAGTGTTTTGTTTTACATCAAGGTCCACCTGACATGAGATTATGGGCAAAATTGATTTTTGAGCTGTTGCCACTAAAATTTTAAAAATGTTTGATTTTTGGTAACATTTGCTCTTAAGGGTTTAATGAAGAGAGGAGCAGATCTGTGCCTGATGAGCAACGGAAGATGGAATTCATTACGACTTGCTGCGCTGGGTAACCCTTAAATCATTGCTCTGATATTAACTCACGTGCCTAACATTGAGTCAAGGTGTGCTGAGAATCTCCCGCCACTGATGATACCTGCTGTGAATGGTCATTGACAGGCTGTAGTGGTTTCTTAAGAAGGAAGTAACTACAACCTGTAAAAAAACAGAGGATATAAGAATGTATTGTGTTTTCCTGCACAGAGTGCTGATACTGACGTCATTAATCTTATCCTGGTTGACGTGCCAGACATTGACTTAAGGAACGCAGAGCAGGATTTTTTGCCCCTTATGGTAGCTGGTTTGACTGGTAAGGAACATGCAGAGAATGGTTTGTGGGGAGAGGAAAACTGCAACCTGTATAGACAACGATGAAATGTGCTACACAGGGTGGTGACCCTGAAAACATTTTTCTGATCCTTACACACATGCCGGACTAAAACCACCGGTAGCGATACACCTCTAATCACTGCTGTTTGTCATGGCAAGCTGCAGGGTGTACAGTATATCCTTCGAAGGGGTGCAGATCCTTTGGCTAAAGACGACAACAGACAGGATTCTTTATATCTTGCTCATCATGTGACCCAGATGTTCTAGACTAATTGCTGCTGTGTCACGTGGCTAACAGTGAGTCAACAACCGACAAGGATTAACGGTTGGTGAGATAAGTTCTACAGCTTAGTTTATTTTCGTTTACTCAATGTCCAAATGTAATTGGCTGGTGTTCCCCGACAACTCGGTCCTATTACCATTAAACATCAATAAAAACCTTTTTTGATTCATTCTACCATAACCTTTTAGGTAGATTCCTTACGAATACTATTACTGTCTGATTATTCTGCAGCTCCAAGATCTTGTTGTAAATCCAAGCCTACGAGAAGTGTTATTGAATTCTGCGCAATGCGTCACAGAAGGAAACTTTCCAGACATCGAGACCACAGGAGGCATTCATTACTTTAGGGCACTTTCATGGTGTTCTGTCATATGTAACATGTTACAATGACCACAAAAACTGCAATAAGTCCATTACTATTCTATTCTATCTTTACATACTTGGAAGTAAGTGCTAACGACAAGAAGAGTTGTAAACTATGTTCTTAGGGCGCTAAATTTTGTTGTTTTGAATTTGGTTTTTGCAAAGAAATACAGCTAGTTAGTTCTTTGACATTTCTGTGTTATTTCCTGTTAGTAATAGAGGCTGCATTTACTTGCGCCGTGCTGCTGACATCTAGTGCATATTTAGTCATGGGTAAGTCCTTCAGACTTTTATGCAGTTTTTGGGATCATAGTTTTGGACTTTTTCGCGGTGTTACTTCACCGCTGTTTAAGTTTCAAAAATGTAAAGCCTGAGAACACATTATCTTATTTAATTTGCAGTAGATTTCCTCTTATGATGAGCATAAACTTGGTGTTCTACCATTTGTATTAGGTTGCAATTGGCATCATGATTAATCCAACTTGGGGCTTGTGTATTTTATTAGTCATTGCCTTGTCCATTGTTGCCTTATCCGTTGCCATCTACAATATGTGTAATGTAGATCATTGTAATAATCTTATTTACTTCTACATCTTGGCATTCGTTCAGCTGGCTTTCTTGTTCTCTGATTTGCTATTACTGGTCCAGTATTAACTGGCAAGTCATTTTGTGGCCGACAAACTCCTAATGATGTTCTAAAAACTACATTATTGTCTATTATTGGTGTAGTGTCATGGCTTTACTTTAAATCCCGCAAACTTCCCTCTCATAGTTCACAGTGTAGAGAGGCTATGAAGGAGACAACAGCCGTAGGTACGGCTTTGGCTGAGAAGGTAATCGTTCCTCAGGCTAGTGTGACTGGAATGGATTCTGAAATTGCTGCAACATTTGTAGCTGTATCCGCTACAGTTGATGCAGCTGTGGCGGCGGTTGAAGCAGTGGCTATTGCTTTGGCAGTTAATTGCAATAATAGAGCTGTGCTTAGGGGAAATCCAACTGCTGGTCTTATTTCTGATGGAAGAGGCAACGAAACATTTCGACTGAACCATAACATACAAGCTACAATGCCTCTTTTCTAAGAGCCGAAGCGTTGCCTTCAGCATTCCATGAAACATCGAGGCGGGTTTGTCTGCCCCTTCCCCTTCCCCTTCCCCCACTTTTTCCCCTTTCCTATATTCTACTCTCATTGCAAAAATTCCTCTCACTTTCCATATTATCTCTGCTTTAAATAAAAACACATTGGCGGCCAAACAATTTTCGTGGAAATACCCAGCGCTCGCCCGCGCGATATACGTTTCACCATATAGACTAAATAATAGATGCAGTTTAGAGTATTTTATTTTGCCAGTGAAGCTTTTAATGTTCTTAGGAGCTTGTCAATGATATGTAAATTTTATTTAATTGAAGTTTCCTTGTTCCAGATTAAATCAATCCTTTAATTCACTTAAAAATCCACTTTACTAGGTACATTAAAAATAAGAGCGGATATTTTGAGAAATGCTTAGTTAAGTGAAAGAGGAAAATACGAGCAATGACAAAATATCCGCTCGTATAAAGCTTTCTCTCGTAAAATTATATCTACTTGACAATGTAACCTTGCAAAAAAAAACATTGCAACGTCTATTTAACAAATAGATGCCAAGTTGCCGTGCGTCTGTTCAGTAATAGATCACAGAGGACGTCAAAATGTGGTAAGAACATCAGTGGCACACGAGGCGCAGTCGAGTGTGTCACTGATGATCTTACCACATTTTGACGTCCTCTGTGGTCTATTACTGAACAGACGCACGGCAACTTGGAATCTATTTGTTTTATATAATAAAGAATTAAAATATACGGGAAAAAAAAATTTAATGATGACGTCATCTATACGTCTGTCCTCCAACAGATCATAAGTGAGAACCAATCAGAATGCGTGCATGACTGAGCTTATTAAATAAACAATTTTATTACAATGATACCACTTTATAAGTGTACGTGCTCTATCTCAGGAAACAAGTCGTCAGTAATTTTTTCTAAATTACCAGCGCTAATTTTTAAACGAAAAATGAACTTGGCGTTTTTTGCAAGTTATTCGCATTCCTTTGCCTGAATAGTGTTTGAGTAAAGGAGGCAAGTCTCCAAAGAAACAGTGGTGCTGTGTTGGTAGGAGAGTATAATAGGGTAATTTCGTATTTTCAACAGAGTTGATAACGTAAATTTGCCACCGTGAAGAATTTAAAGGCGCCGAAATGCTCCTAACTTCAGCTGTTTAACTGTTTACAGTGGCAAATTTATATTATCAGCTCAATTGATAATACTAAATTACTTAGTTTCTAAGTGGCCTAGTTAGATATGCAAAGTCAAGTATGTTGAGGTAGTATACAAACAGAATAACGATCTTGTATACTTCAGTGGTTTGCTAAATTTTGCCAAAACTGAAGCTAACACAATTGTCAAAGGCTCACTTACTGTGAACACGGGGAGAGGACTGGGAAGGGTTAAAAACTGTGTCCTTCTTGAACGCAGTTCTTCATCCCCTTGAATGTTTTTTCTTTGTTTGTTTGGGACCGCTTATTATTTATGACCTGGGAAGGGGAGAGGTCGAAGGATTTTGTTTGAGTCAGAATAAAATTTACCCGATTCCCCCCTAAGGCTCTGCAATATTCTAATGATCCCCCTCATTGGCAGACACCCACTTCCCCTTTATACACCTTATAGCGAACACTGATCCAACCTCCCTTCCCCCTAAAAAACGAAAAATTCCCCCCCCGAAAAAAAGAGGCCCTGTTCCCCATACACGATAAATGAATTTTGCTCCCTTTACCTCTCCCCTTTCTCCATATTTTATCCAAACAGGGATTTTTTTACTACTTTCCCAGAAGCTAGAAATATCAGTCGTTCCCATTGATAAACAACATATTCTTTCGTTCGGTGATATAAAAATTTATTGACTAATGTTATAACCTCGCTTACAAAGGTTACCTAAAAAATTGTAACAATTGGAGCTGTATTTTGTAGTCTTTTTAAAAATTACGAGTGCCTACTCGTTTCAAATTGCTTGAGAAAAATTATGTCACTTCTAATTCATTTATAAATGATCTAATTGTCGAGATACCTTCACCTGATAACGCAGAAACAAAGAAGGTTGAAACACGTACAGAATGATTCATCCAAACCTTGCAAACATCATTGTGCATTAGGTCAAATCAACGTCTCTAGTCAAAGGGCAAATTTTTCGACACGCCTTTCTTATTTTAGCTATTAAACGGTTCGTTATCGTTTTTTCACTGAATTAACAATGTACTGTACTGTATTGGTTCTCTTCTGCATTGATGTTACATGAAAACTGTATTGCAACCAATCAGAATGCAGAAATTTCTTCATGTATTCTATTAACAAATGTCCTTGAAAAATGAGATATTCTGTACATCGTGTGAAATGTAAAAGCCATGTACTCTTATATAAAATAGTATTTAAAACCTCGATTTTAGCTCGGTGCAAATGTTATCAAAACGCATTTTTAGCTTTGGGACATAAACTTGTTCATAAACTTGTTCAACGTTCATATTTCCAACTTTTGCATAAAATTTCACAGCTATTATATCACATTTACGTGTTCTAGAATACAAAAATGTTATATGGTAAAAGAAACCCCTTTACTTGTGAAAAATAAACATCGTCATATTAATTTCAAAACGTCTTTAAAAAAAAAAAGAGGCCGGTAACATTGCAGAAATCTTTACTTCTGTCTTTAAAATTAATGCGTTCTATTAAAAAAAATAAAAACATCCTCATTGTGAGGTATACATAACATGTCAATTTTAAAAACGTTTAACCTGATAAAAATAAAATCACCGGCAATATTGTACAGACATATACTTCAGGCTGTTATCAGATTGTGTTCATTTTCAAAAATCTCCAACACTGACAGTTTTCCTGTATAGTACAAGCCCTCACGAGAACATCAACTATTGACAACACCACGCAATCTGCAATCTAAGAGATAAAACCAATGAGTATTTTAGGAAGAGAAATGAAGATTCCTACGACAACTGAACAAGAACACGCTGCTCTAAGAGGCTGTATATCTTGGTACATATCGTCTCATGCAGCCTAGCACTAACACCGCACCATAGGATTCATTCGCATCATTCATATCTTTTAAGCTTATGGCTGTGCTCTGACAGAGTCTGTCCACATGCCACTGACTTTTGTTTTCGGGTGACTTTTACAACTTTGATTTCATGAAAGCCTTCAAAAGCTGGATAACCAAATTCTGAGAAAAATACCTGTGTGTGCACAATGTTGAAATCACCTAGCTTAATAGAACTAAATCCTTACACCCAGCCAACATGCCACAGGAAGCCCACGCTCAAGTTCAACTTTAACGACATAAGATATTTAATACCGAAACTGTTGCACAGCTCACAAGTTGTACAGATTGTACGTAGGTCTAGTTGGTAAAATATCGAATAACACACAGCCTGTTAAAAACCTCCATTTGCAGCAATACATCACATAGTAAAAAGAATGGCTTTGAAGTTGACGGAACAAACAAACCAGTGAGTTGCATTTTGATATTGAAGAATTAGGCAAACATAAAATAAGCTGTAAAGCTTACTCCACCAACCTAAGTTAATCATTGCCCGTTGTTGACTCACTTCTAGGCAAGTGACTCAGCAGCAAGTCAAAGAAATCTGAGTCACATGATGAGGCATGATGTAAAGAGTCCTGTCCTTTGTTATCTTTAGCCGAAGGATTGGCTCCCCTCTCAAGAAGACACATTGCACCCTGTAGCTTGCGCTCACGAACAGCAATGATAAGAGGTGTTTCACCACCAGCTGTTTTTGACTCAATGTCCGGCAGATGAGTAAGGATAAGATCAATGGTATCAGGGTCACCGCCCTGTGCGGCAAAATGTAATATATTCCATCCATTACTCTTAACAGAAGTTACAGTTGCCCCCTTCTCAAGAAACCATTTCACTGCATGTAATTTGCCACACAAAGCCGCCACCATTAGTGGCGTGTGACCCTCGCCTGTTTTTGACTCAATGTTGGGCAGGTGAGTATGAATTAGAGATATAATATCAGTGTCTCCGCCCTGTGCGGCACAATGTAACGTGTTCCATCCTCTGTTGTTTCCACAGGCTACAGTTGCCCCCTTCTCAAGAAACCATTTCACTGCATGTAATTTGCCATGGGCAGCCGCCACCATTAGTGGCGTCTCACCCTCGCCTGTTTTTGACTCAATGTTGGGCAGGTGAGTATGAATTAGAGATATAATATCAGTGTCTCCGCCCTGTGCGGCATAATGTAACGTGTTCCATCCTCTGTTGTCTTCACAGGTTTCAGTTGCCCCCTTCTCAAGAAACCATTTCACTGCATGTAATTTGCCATTGCCAGCCGCCAGCATTAGTGGCGTGAGACCCTCGCCTGTTTTGGACTCAATGTTGGGCAGATGAGTATGGATTAGAGTTATAATATCAGTGTCTCCGCCCAGTGCGGCATGATGTAACGTGTTCCGTCCTCTCTTGTCTTCACAGGTTACAGTTGCCCCCTTCTCAAGAAACCATTTCACTGCATGTAATTTGCCAGTGCCAGCCGCCACCATTAGTGGCGTAGAACCGTCGCCTGTTTTTGACTCAATGTTGGGCAGGTGAGAATGGATTAGAGATATAATATTAGTGTCTCCGCATTGTGCGGCATGATGTAAAGTGTTCCATCCTCTCTTGTCCTCACAGGTTACAGTTGCCCCCTTCTCAAGAAACCATTTCACTGCATGTAATTTGCCATTGCCAGCCGCCACTATTAGTGGCGTAAGACCCTCGCCTGTTTTTGAGTCAATGATGGGCAGGTGAGTATGGATTAGAAATATAATATCAGTTTCTCCGCTTTGTGCGGCACGATGTAACGTGTTCCATCCTCTCTTGTCTTCACAGGTTACAGTTGCCCCCTTCTCAAGAAGCCATTTCACTGCATGTAATTTGCCATTGCCAGCCGCCATCATTAATGGCGTGCTACCCTCGCTTGTTTTTGACTCAATGTTGGGCAGGTGAGTATGGATTAGAGATATAATATCAGTGTCTCCGTGTTGTGCGGCATGATGTAACGTGTTCCATCCTCTCTTGTCTTCACAGGTTACGGTTGCCCCCTTCTCAAGAAACCATTTCACTGCATGTAATTTGCCATTGCCAGCCGCCAGCATTAGTGGCGTGAGACCCTCGCCTGTTTTGGACTCAATGTTGGGCAGATGAGTATGGATTAGAGTTATAATATCAGTGTCTCCGCCCAGTGCGGCATGATGTAACGTGTTCCGTCCTCTCTTGTCTTTACAGGTTACAGTTGCCCCCTTCTCAAGAAACCATTTCACTGCACGTAATTTACCAGTGACAGCCGCCACCATTAGTGGTGTGGAACCCTCGCTTGTTTTTGACTCAACGTTGGGCAGGTGAGTATGGATTAGAGATATAATATCAGTGTCTCCGTGTTGTGCGGCATGATGTAACGTGTTCCATCCTATCTTGTCTTCACAGGTTACGGTTGCCCCCTTCTCAAGAAACCATTTCACTGCATGTAATTTGCCATACAAAGCCGCCACCATTAGTGGCGTTGAACCCTCGCCTGTTTTGGACTCAATGTTGGGCAGGTGAGTATAGATTAGAGATATAATATCAGTGTCTCCGCGTTGTGCGGCATGATGTAACGTGTTCCATCCTCTCTTGCTTTCACAGGTTACAGTTGCCCCCTTCTCAAGAAACCATTTCACTGCATGTAATTTGCCATTGGCAGCCGCTATCATTAGTGGCGTGATACCCTCAGTTGTTTTTGAGTCAATGATGGGCAGGTGAGTTTGGATTAGAGATATAACATTAGTGTCTCCGCCAGCTGCGGCATAATGTAAGGTGTTCCATCCTGTGTTGCTCATCAGGGATGGGTCTGCTCCCCTTTTCATTATACTCTTCACCGCGAGAACGTTGCCATTCAAAGCAGCATTCATCAGCGGCGTTCTGCCTGTTGCGTCCCTGGAGTCACCTGGAAATCTAGGAGGAAGTGTCGATTTCATCTCAGTGACGTCACTGACTCCTTCGGCAGAGTGTAACTGATTCAATTCCCTGTTGTCCTTGCTCACAGAAGTGTCGCCTAAAATCATACAATGTGAAAAGAAATTAAGATTGGCATTAAACTCCAAGGAGGGTGTAGAGACATGAGATGTATTTTGGAACTAGCGACGTTAGGAGGAAAAATAGGTAACAAGAAAATTTGTATAAATAACAATTATAGTAATACTAATTATGATAATAATAATAACTGATAGGTATAATTCCTCTGGTGACTGTAGAGATGCATGCACTCTGGTTGGTCAAGGATTGCGTCATATCTCGCTAAAATTACCTCGCACGAGGAGATTATATCATTTCAAACTTCTACTGGAAATGGCTGCTTATCTCGATACGAGTAATCAAAATAATTGTGACAGATTGCTATCAACAAAAGTCCCAACAGCTTGTTAACAAAACGCCTAAAGCAAAGTCTATATTTAATTGAATTTCAGTTGACGTAAGCGTTACAGACAGGATATGAAAATTATGTTCTATGACTTCTAAATCACTAATTTTCAGCATTTGCCGACCAGCTATGTTCTTGGTATTAAAGTTTATTGACAGTTACGAAAAAACATATCGTGGCAGGTTTTCTTGTGTTTTACAACTCACCCAATTTTCTATCCAAAAAACAAATTTGTGCCCCTTCTTGCTAGAAGAGGCTCTAAATTAAGATGTTGTGAGAAATTACACTTTGGTCAACATTGGGTAGTAAAGGAATGAAACCAAACAAATGGAATACAACTGTTACACAATTTAAGAGTACAAAGTCTAATATCAGTACTGCCAGTTCCTTCTTTTCCGTAATTTCCTGCTCTGTATTAATCTACATCCACCTCCCCTCTGCCCATCCCTTCATATTTCCCAGTTCCAAAAATAGTTGAAATACATAAATTGCTAATAGGCATATGGTATATACCTTCTACAGCCCTACATTTTGCTGCAGAGACTTCCTTTTTATGTTTCAATTCTTCTTCTGTTGAATCACATGGAGCTGTACCTGAATCTGACGAATGTGAAAAAATAAAAAATTATGCACTCATTTAATCAACCAAACACAGGCAAGGCTCAAATTTTAAACACATATGCTATATGAGTGCTAACTATAAGTATAAGTAAGAGAATCTTTTGCCTCCTTTTAGCTTCATGAAAAAAGTCATTAGAGCGACGAGAAATTTGTAGAAAAGAGATACATGGAAAATCGTTACTGATATTTTTGATCCATTTGTGCTGGATGACCTGTAAGCAAACGTGAATACATGTAAATAGCTCTTCTTTGATCACCATTGTTTTTTTTTTTTTTTTTTTGAGAACTAACTCATTCCTTCTCAAATAGTACTTTAATTGATAAAGTTCTACAAGTATTTCCGTACATATCCTTTTAAGTTGAAAGTAAAGCAGAAAGACCAGAAACCGTTACAGAAATACTACATATATTATATAGCTTCATCCCAATCAGAAATTACTGGTACACGAGGGTCTTTGCTTCACCACATTTGATAACTTTACATGCATTACCTCGAACAAACACTCAGGCATGAATTCTTTCAAGTTATAGCTAAAAAGAGGGGCGCTTATTAAAAGCAAGTCGCTTAATTCAGGGGGTGTTTTAGAATGAAACTATAAACTGTTCTGATTTGGCTGTAGTTGAAGCTTAATAAAGTTATAAATAAAGTGGTAATAGAATCAGGTTTTCCATTTATTTTGGAAAGTGAGAGACAAGGAGAGGATAATTATTCGATTAAGGATGGGGGAGGGATAATGTTCTTGTTTGATATGTTGACCTAGCCCATAAAAGTGTCACCTAAAATCAAACAATTTGAAAAGAAATTAAGAAATGCAAAATTATGCAAGAAGGGTCTAGAGAGGGGAGAGTTGTGACGGAACCAGTAACTTTGAGGGGAAAATTAAGACCAAGTAAAGGTTTCAGTTCAAGAACTGTTATCAATGTGGACCTTGTTCAAAGAGAAATTTCTTATTTAGTTGAATTGAGTAATTAAAAAATCTAGATTAGTTTGTTACACCCGTCTTGATCTTATGATAGACACTTCTCACCAGAACTAATGGTAATTCGCTCTACTGATCTCTAAACGTGCGGTCGAAGCTTGGTCGATATTAATTGCGTTAATTGTGTCAAGTTCTGGTTGCGATTGAACATGCCTGTGAGCCATCACTTTGGTATTCAGCCAAGTTGTTCTGTCTACTATCACGATTAGTAATCAAAAATAGTCGCAACTTCCTGTTAACAACACAGCTAAAGTGAAGCCTCAACTCGCTTTATTTTCAGTTTCTCAAAGTTTTACAAACAGAATATCAAACTTATGCTACAGAAAATAATTCTTCATAGCCTTGGAATTTTGGAAAACTTACAAAGATCAATCACGTTCTATGACATCTGAATCACTAATTTGCAATGTTCACCGACCAGCCTTACTCTTTGTTTTTAGAGTTTATTGACAGTTATAATCGAATGACAAGCGTTGTAAAGTTTACTCACCTTGAACAGACTTTGTTTGTTTATTCCCATCAATTGTTTTACTCTTTAAAGAAGTGTTTGGACCTTTTTCATCGGAGAAAAGAGAGAAATATCACACTATGGAATGCTACCTAGTTTGGAATCCTGCAAACAGACTTCCATTTAAAAGACAACAAATGATGGATGTCTAAACGTCCGTTGTGCTGTCTCACTTCCACATTGTTTCAATGTTCCTTTCTGTCCTTAAAATCAATCTTGCTCCCTTTTTGCAAGAAGATGCTTTAAACGACAATATTATGAGAAATTACATGTTGATCAATTTTGGCATTAAAGGGGATTAAACCAAGGCAACAAAATAGGAATGTTACATAAAATTAAAGGAAAAAGTCTAATATTCCTTGGGAGTCCCAGTCCCTCCCCTGTAGTCCTTCCTTGTTTTTTTATCCAAGACGTTCTCCCCAACCCCCCTTCCCCCTTCATATTTCATATTGGTTGCGGTACATAAATTGCTGATAGACACGTGGTGTCTTCCTTCTACAACTGTACCTGTTGCTGTCCAAACTTCTTTTCTATTTCTCTGTGCTCGTTTTGTTGAAACATATGTAGCTGTACCTGCAACAATGAGTTTAAGTTAAAAACACTTACTTTAATACTCCACTGTAAACCAAGCAGTTACATGTTCAAAAGCCATACAAAACTCACAACCTCAAATGCGCATATCATTGTTACGTGCGTAAGTTCACTGCTTATAGATATGACCCAATAATTTATGCCTGAGTACGTCCAACAGTATTTTGTCACAGTAGCTGAATCTCATGAACAAAAAGAAAAACACAAGTTAAGACTCAAATGTGGAACATATTTACTATATTAGTGCTAAGTAGAAGCGAGAGAATATTTTGCCTCCTCTAAGCTTCATTGAAAAAGTCAGAAGAGTGGGAAGTGTTGTGGAAGAAAGAGTAGGGCAAGCACAAACATTAATATCGTTTGATCCAAGTGCTAAATGACCCACAAGCCAACATGAATACTGCAAGTAAATTAAGCTCTTCTTTGATTACCAATTAAATCATTTTTGGTTTGAGAACTAACTCATTTCCTTCTACATTGCTTCAAGGCTTTATCTACACACTCAATCTCTTTCTGAAGTTTACTCAAATAGTGCTTTTATAAGTGTTGGGATAATATAGTTCTACAGGTATTTCCATACATTTCCCTATAAGTTGAAAGCAAAGCAAGAATATTACAGAAGTTCTACGTACATTAAGTGGTGTCCAGGTGCGAATTATTTAAAGTTTTGGTTAGAAGGAGAGGCACTTAGTGGAAGGAAGTTGCTTAATCAAGAAGGGTGTTCAGTAAGAATTAAATTATAAACGGTACTTATTTAGCAGTTAAGTTGAAGCTTAAAAAGTCATCAATAAAGTGGTAACAGAATCAGGTTTTCCTTTTATTTAGGAAAGTGGGGGAGAAGCAGAAGTGATAATTCTAGGAGGGAGGTTGTTTGATATAATGGCCTCGGGGGAGGGCACTTCTTAGAACGTGAGCGCTAACATGAGGAAATACAGTAGTTGGTCATAGTATTAGACTGGAAGATGCTGTGGCATACTTGTTATTTTAAGTTGAAGAAAATGAACTAGTCTAAGGAAGTTATTCACTGACGTTTCTGCTCCAGTTCCTGAAGACGTGAGCTTGGGATGCCTGTGCTCACAGCTGGCATTGACAACACTCCTTTACAGGAGTTTTTTGTTTACCTAAAGGATCCTGCAAGTAGACAAATATTACATACCTGCTGCTTGCACTACTCCCTTGTCTCCCTGTGTTTGTCCTCTTGTTTCACTTGAAGTGTCTAAAGCTGCGTAGAATGAAAACACTGAAGTTATGATCATGACCTTTAAGTACTATCAATGATGATTTTAGGTCAGTGAAAATGAAAGAGGTTTTCTATTGTTAGCATTGAGTGGAAATGGTCATCTCAGAGTACTTGGTATATATTAAGACCAAAACTAGAATATCTTAATCAATTTTAAAGAGCTTTTAATTTTCTTATAATTGTGCAGAAAACTATATAGTTAAGTCTCTGTAGACTCAGTACACAAAATAAAGAAAAAGCTGGCTTTTTTCACCTGTTGGATGACAGTATGAGCAATCAAAATTATCCCTGGGTTCCAGCTGATTAATTAGAATTATGTACAACTAATAAAATTTTAAAGAGGCAATTAATATACATACCTGCTGCTTGAAATTTTTTCTTGTCTCCCTTTGTTTTTTCTCTTTTATTTGAGGTGTCTTGATCTGCAGCGAAAACTGAATTAAGATAGTCATAAATTGCAACGCATACACCTCTTTAATATATAATAGCCCTATGCAACCATTTTTCTTTCTTTAAACTGTTTTCATTGTTTTGTACAATTTATAATTCCTTGGATCATTTCACTGCTACAAAAAATGTTGGATTGGTAGAATATTTGTTCAATAAAATTGAACAAGCTGATGTTGGGTTTCCAAGAAAATGTCGCCTCAAGGAACTATTAAAATAATACATACTGAATGATAACTGCTGTATGTTAACTCAGAATAATTCTTAATTAGTTTTAAACAGCTTCTAGTTTTCATATCATACAATTCTGCTGAAACCAGGCAGCTGTTTACTGTTCACAAACCAAAGGAAAAAAACTGTCTCCATCTGTGGTCAAAATAATTAAATCATATCCTCATATTGATGAAGAGCATATGCAAATATCCTCACTTAATTGGGTCTACAAAAGGTACAATAACAAAAAAAATTTGCATTTTTTTGTGGCATTCTACAAAATGAGTTAAATATATGTACCTTCCCCTTGCCCACCTGTCCTTCTTTCTCTTGTTTGTTCTGCTGTTTTATCTGAAGTGTCTGGATCTTATACACAGGACAAAATACAAAAGTAATGCATTTACATATTTGTAAGGCTGAGGATAGGAATAAGAATTTTTCAGTTTAAACATTGACACCTGAACCACCCATAACTGCCCATGCCATGTGGTGGACAAGAAACGATCCAATATTTTCAAGTCTAATAATTTCTGTACCTTTCTGATTATGTTAGACCTTCTAGAACACAAAATGAAAAGTAAAACTGCTATAAAATATTCTGCCTGGAAAATAACATCCAGGTCTTAAAAGCAGTAAAATAAGTTTTTGAGTCAACAACACTATGATTCCCTTAAGATGCAAATTGAGACTGTAGAGTGAAAACAAAGGACTTCAAGCAAGGCCTAATGACATTCTGAAGATTCTAAGGCTCAGTAAATATTTTGTTTGAGTAAAGAGATATCAAAAAAGTATTGTTTAATAGAAGATTTTGTGTCAAAACATAGAACATTCAGAATTTTTACCATAATGCTGCACAACATAACAGAAAATATCAGCAGACTTCTATACAATCCTTCAACAACACTTAAGCATTAAATGTTACAGTAGTATTTTACAACTGCACCCTCTGACTGTCAGAGAACTGTTGTACAGTTCAAACAATATCATGCAGGCTAATTTTTCAGAAAAGAACCAAATGAGGGCATAACCTGCAATGTTACATGTTCATTCACCCACCTGGTGTAGACTCACTTTCTTCCCTTCCATCTCTTTCCCCAACTTCTGAGCCGCTGTGTGGAAGATCACCTACAGAAAGTGAGGAGAAATATTTATCAGATAATACAGTATCATTGCAAGCAAACATATTTATTTATTATCTACCAACCATTTTTAAGCTTCAACATCTCCCTCCTCCTTCCTATGCAGCCCACATACAAATGTCTGGGAGGTTGCCTAAGATGTTACTTGTGGGAAGGATGCTGAAGCTATGAATTGATGGCACATAACGGTTTACAAAATTTTAAATGACACAATTCTACTAATATGTCACAGAATTGTTACAATAATGTGTATGCTGTAAAAAAATTCATGAAAATCTTAACTTTTGTAAATAATATGAATTCTTTAGACCAGTATCCTTCCCAGCAAAAACTTACCAGTTCCTGTGAAAAACTCCTTCCTTTGTGTTTGTTCTTTATCGTTTGAACTGCATGGAGCCTTTTCTAGAAATAAAGAAAATGAATAAAGCCACTTGAAATTAATTTAAATTTTAGGATACCGTACTTCCTCCAATAAGTGCCCATGGGGGTTCGAAGGGGGAAATTACCAGAAGGATGGTGCTTAATGGGACGAAATTAAAAACAACAGATAAGACACATAATGCTTTAACCCCTGAGAATGACCAGCATCTAATTTCTCCTTACCATATCATCCCCAAAATCACACATAAAGGTCACAAGAACAAATGAAATTATCGCCATCAATTGAAGCTCTAGATTATAAAACAAATTCTCCTTGTCATCCCTTAGGAAATGTATTGAGAACAATATGGAGAACAATATGGGGACTCTGCAATCACATGGAGATAGGAATAACTGAATGGAAAAGAAACTATTCTCCTGCACTGATTAAACTGTAGGTGAAGTTTAAAAAGTTATAAATGAATTGGCAATAGAAACAGGTTGTCATTGTACACCTACTATTTTAAAAGTGAGGAAGGAGGGGGGGGGGTAGTTATTGGAGGGGTTGCTCGTTTGAAATTATGGTCTAGGTGGTGCATACTTATTTGGGGGAGGGCACTTATTAGAACATGGGCACTTATTCAAGGAAATATGGTAAGTCATCTTGGAAAAAATTTCTTAAATGAGTAATCTCTCTCTTGATTATTTTTTCAAAAATAATTGTAAGAGCATCAATAAGTAGCAACCTTCAGTCACCAAAAACAAGAATTAGAGACAGTTCCTGATCATCTAATAGCTTAGCACAGGAAAGTAAAACAATTGTTTCCTTTACAAAGGAAAAAATATTTCTTGTGGAAGTGACAGTAGCTATAATTCTCACAGTGCAAATATTCTTTGAAATTAAAATCAACTTAGAAATTTTGGTTATAGTTACTAAAGCAAACCTGTGAATACAGTCTCCTTAGGAGTGGGACTGGGAGCCAACTGCAGAATCATCTTCATAAACTTTTCACATTCCTCCTTCCAGTGGTACCTCTTCCCATAATTCCCTCTTAGATGCAGGGCAGAGGCATACCTCTCATCTGGTGTTTGCTGTGATAGCTCTTTGATTTTTTTTGCCCATTCCTCTGGTAAAGCTGAGTGGATGACCACAGCCATCCCACCATCTACGGTTTGAAGGGCTTTGGCTATACCACATTCCCTGGAGACCAGTACAGGCACACCAGCTGATATGGCCTCTAGGGCCACCAGCCCGAAGCCCTCGGTGCGGGATGGCATCACAACTACATCCGCTTGACGAAACATCTCTCTCACTTCTTCATAATTACAAAAGCCTCTGATGGTTAGTTGATTCCGTGTTATTTTCGTTTCCTCCAGGAACCATTTTTCGATCTTCCGTTGTTGATCTTGTGGTGCACCAACAAAAGTGAGCTCAAATTTTCTTTCCAGTAAAGCCACAGCCTTACCGATTATATCGTATCCTTTCAGTTCAAAGTCCTCAAAACTTCCACGACCGAACATGAAGACGCGAAACTCATCTTCTGATGATTCCAATTTATTCGATTTCCTTGCTGTTGGATTGACATACTTTTCGAAAATCCCCGGAGTAATGACTTCTACTTTGAAATCTGGCAGACTTCTTTGATATTTTCTTTGTAGTAGGGAGCCTACTGCGACAACTGCGTCAGATGCTTTGCACAGCTCAAGTTCTCGTTTGTTCTTCGCTTCGTTATCTGCGATTGCATCGGCCGTAACGCTGCATTCCAGCTTGTGCTTTCCAAGGTCCTCGCAAAATACATGCACAAAGTGTATCCACTTACAACCTGTCATTCGTCGAATGGAATAAGCTGCACCACCAAACTGTCTACCGTGGCCAACGACGATGTCAGGATTGGGAAGCTCTGATGGCGGAAATCGAATCCATTCAAGTGGATCACTAGATCCAGGAGGTCGCTGTGCTGTCATTAACTGGATTCCATTGCTGCTCGCATCTTGTCGTTCTTCTTCTGTGCTTTGGCAAACAAAGCAGTGAACCCTGATTCTTTCTTTCCAATACTTCGCTAGATTCACAGCAAGTTCCCTGTTAAACGTTGATAATCCACCTTTCGAGGAGCCCCACTCGCTACAGATGAACATGACATCAACACACTGATCTACAATTACTTCTGCGCTACAAGATGCTTTGCCCTTGAGGTCTTCACTTTTCCCTTTATCTTTCACAGAATTTGCATTGGGTGCATTCAAGGATCCTCTTTCCATCTCAAAGCTTTTTACTACAGCAACAAAGCAAGAATAGTATTGAAAATTAGCTGTAAAACAATAATAAATCATAATAAGGCATGCCCACTTTTCCAAAAAGTCAGGTACATGTAGATTGAGACAAATTTGAACCAGGAAAATATTAAGTTGCTTTAGAGATGACTACACTGTCACTGATAACAACCATTACAGTCACAACTGTACAAGGAATTAAATTCATAAGTAAAAGTTATCCTTAAAAGGTCTTCCTTTTCAACTCACTTTGAAATTGGTATACATGTAGTCTCACTGAGGAAATTTAGGAAAAAAGAAAACAAGGGGGCAGATGAATGTTTCTGTCAAAATCAAAGCTTGGTATTTTTTATAGATTTAGATCTCTCTTCCTACCTTTTGTAGCGTTGGCATCACAGGAAGCTTTAATTTTGAAAAATCACCCAAGGAAAAAAAAAACATACAAAATGTGAGTTCACCGAGTCCAATTAGGCTTTCTAATTCCTCTTAGAGTGTTGTTGAGACCACTTCAGGCAGAACTGGAGGCTAATTTGACCTTTTTGGGAAGCTTTCACTTCCCCATATATTTAAGATCATTGTTTAAATTGCCTATTTGAAAAATTTGACAACTGGAAAATGGCCCATTTTCGAAATGAGAAGTTATGTTTCCAAGGAAAAATATTGCAGCAAATAGATCCTGGTCTAATAGTGTTTGCCGTTCACACTGTATTTCCTTTAGATGACATTTCTGACACATCCATCTCATAAGTAACCATTTCATAATAAAAAACAAAATGCTATCTTACCATGGATGGAACTATCTATACTTTCCAAACAATAAAATTAAATATATTTTCGTTAGCCTTTTTATTCTAAGAATTTTTCGTGATATCTCCAATTTTTGGAAGGCATCACAACCATAAAGCAAGCCAATAACCACATATTTAATTTTGTCATACCATGTTAAATTGAAAGTTGCTATTATCAAATTCCCACAACTTTTTATATTTTTGTGATTCCTATTGCCACTTTTTGCAAATTAATTGCCACTGCAACTGTATTATCTCAAGAAGGTTAATACTTTTGATCAGAATCTCTGCTAACTAAAACTTTGTATGACAAGGAACATTTACAGCACAGTATGCCTGTCTGCCAAAACTTTTCCAAATGACAAGGTATGGAATAATTAAATTGTCAAAATCTAATACTACTCAGCAGACTGCGCTGAAAATCTGTATTACCATCAGCTTTTTATTTGTGCCAAACCATTGAGTAGTATTAATTGAAAATGGCTTGGATTTAGAGACGTAACTTCTTCGGTTACATTCATTAAATCTGTGAAAGCATCAAACCATGTCCAAATTTTTATAAATCATCATTTCCCATAAACAAGCTTCAGTGAAAGAAGACCATTCAAATAACTTACTTTCAACGAATAAAGTAATAGAGGCATATTAAGTTTTTACGCTAAAATCAAGATAAAAGATTAAAATCGGTAAATTTTTTCGCACGTGTGCAAACAAGTATGCAGATCGGATTTTAAAGTGAATATGCAAATTTGGCAGTGTGTGGAGAGATTTCAAGTTTCATGGAATTTGTAAAGAGGAAGCAAGACGAAACTGACCAAGGAACGTTTCGGGAAGAAAGGTTAATTCAAAATAGTTCTTGATTTTCTGTTAGAAGCGAAAAACGTGCGAATTTCTTACGTGTACAAAACCCACGAAGTAGAATTAATCATGCGTAGATGACGTAGTTTACTTGACTTCACGGCTAGTAAATTGCGCAGCGTTTTGTTGAAAATTCTGAAAGTTCTACGTTTTGACAAAATCTACGAGTAAACATTACTTTTTGGACATCTCATTACTTAAACATGATATTTACCGGGCTCTGGAATCTTCATAATTGTCGCCAGGCCTCGCTTGAAGTTCGAAAGTTCGGTTTCACATTACAACCCCAATTCGCATCGCTTCAGAGAATCGTAGTGTTGTCGACTCGGAAGCTTATTTTGTCGATTTTAAGACCTTGATATCCATTATTTTCGAAGCAGATCATTCTATAGTATTTTTACTTTTCATTTTGTGTTCCAGAAGGTTTAAAATAATCGGAAAGCAACGGAAAATCCGACTTGAAAATATTGAAAGTAGGCCGCGCGGACAACATTTTTTCATATTTAACCATTTCTTACGAACGCATAAAATAACACCTTTCTAGTACCCCCCATCAAAATAACTGGGAAAAACACGAATTTTGATTGGTTTATAGATCCTCTAACAATAGAGGAAGTTTAAAGACAAAATTCCACTTAGTAGGGGAGGTAGGGGAGAAAACGTCTCTCGCGCGACACGGGCGGTTACGGGCAGTTCAGGTATCAAGTAAATTGGTGATTTCAAACAAGTTCCCAGAGCTGACGTTTACCGATTCAATCCAAAGTAAGTAAAAAATCAGCAATGTGAAAGATGAGAAAAAGTTACGAACAAGATCGACAAAGAGGGAACTTTAAATGCACGAATCCATGTTAAGAAAAGCCTCCTTTCATCAAATTCCGAAAATTATGTTACAATGTGCATGATTAAATAACTCGATTGAACTAAAAAATATTTACATATGAGCCCTTTCTGAATTCTGAGAGTCACATGACCAGTGACCAGGTAACTTTCTTGAGGCAGGAAGAGAAAAAGGACCCTGGAAACAAGGTTGGGTCTTCATTCCCGTAAAGAGATCTAATCACAATTTTTAATAAGATGTTTCATTCGAGACATTTTGGTTTGAAAATATCCTAAGATATGTGTGCTAACAATCAAAGTTTGTGACACAACCCAGAAGTTAAATTACTCTACCTTCTACTTCAGGAGTGACTTTCTTATTATGGAAAATAAATCCATATTTTAAATGAACGAGTTATCCTCTACAAATGTCTTCATGGTATGTTAAAAATGAGATTTAAATTTGCATTTGAAACACATCTCTCATGCGTGAATTACAAAGCATTTCAACTAACGAAATTCCACAATCCTTAAATTAAAGTGTTCCACAGACAACGGATACTCCGCAAGTTATTCGGACAAGTGTACCGAAAACGTACACAATTCATGGTACCCGTTTTTTCGCACCATCTCGCCTATAACACCTCACAGTTGTAAACACATGCAATGCAACAAAGGCGCAGACGATGCAAATTCAGGGTAAACACGCACATCAAGTCACACCTCTAACGTGCATTAAATTGAGAAAGTATAACAAAATTAGATAGATCTCTAATTGACTGGACTTCTTCGGATGAAGTAACCTTGAGTTGACGAAGAAGAAGAGCTTTATCCGAGTTTTCAGCCGTCGCAAACGTTGCAAACTCAGCACGTTTTTAAGGCGCCACGAACGCTGGGAATCTGAGATTTCAAATTTGCATGTTTTCTCACGATAAATAGCTTAAAGACGACCCACATGTAGACATTTGAAGATATCACGAGGATCTTAAAACCTGAAAGTGGCATCGAACAGGTCCTGAAATGTACAGAAATAGTAATTTCCTCAATCACATACCTTTGAGTACTGGAGCACCTGTAAACTGTTACTGATTATTGCCACTGGTTTCCACTGCTAAAAGTCTCTAAAAGGAATGACAACAACTTCGCTGGTGAACCAATCACTAAAAGACATGAATACAAGCTGAAGAAATATGGAACTCAACCCAAGATTGAGACAAACGCTCCCTCGCCAGGAAGTCAGCTCAGTGACTGATAAACCTTCCGCATTGATTGTGAGAGGAAATATCGCTATGAGTGGATGTGTAATCATAGATTAAATTGGTCACATGATTAATTTACCAGAATGGCGCAGTCAGTGGACTACGGGACGGTGGATTAGAGAGTATGCGTGACAACGTCCTTCGGGGGTTAAATGGGTACGATACTGGAATGCGGTTAAATGATAACTTACAAACACCGACACCCATTCGATAATATTACAACAAAATGGAACGGAAAATTCATCTTTATTATAGAGAATTACTCATGAAAGTGGGAGTTATAATTTGGTTATCTGCTGTATACTGCATGTCTGGAGGTAATTTCCTCATTTCGTGCATCTTTCAATTTTTCTTCTAAAATATCTATAAGCAAAGCATTTGATAAGGTGTGGCCTGCTGGTTTGTTGTGTAAGTTAGAGGTTCTAGGGGTACAACCGCTCTTACTTCAATTGTTTGAAAGTTATTTGCTTAACCGAAAGCAACGGCTAGTTCAGTATAGAAGGGCAATCCTCTGATTTGCGAACAGTCAACTGCGGAGTCCCTCAAAGGTCTTTGATAGGACCGTTTCTATTTTTTTATTTATATCAATGATATTACTGGTGATCTCGCCTCTCTTCCTTTGATTTATGCCAATGATACTACACTGTTCACGAGCCAGCCGTCTCAGCTGGTTGCCTAAATTCTTATCTAAATAAGATCTCCAGGTGGGCTGACAAATGGTTGGTAGCTATGAATCCTGTTAGACTTCTCAATGTTCTATTTTCTCTCAAGCGTAATATACAAGATCACCCACCTCTATTTCTTGACACCAAGGTCGTCAAAGACGTTGAGTCTCACACTCACTTAAGCCTAACTTTGCAGAGTAATATGTGGTGGAGAAATCATATAGTTAAGATGTACAAGAAAGCCTTTAAACGATTAAATATGCTGAAGTTTGTTAAATACAAAGTTGACAGATCCACCTGAACATGCTTGTACAAAACCCTGATTAGACCTCTTATCGAATATGGGGATGTTATCTGGAACAACTGTCATAATCGTGATTCAGCTTTACTGGATAATGTTCGATACGAAGCCACTGGGGTGGTGACAGGAGCCATTAAAGGAAACCAGCTCTGCGAGGTTTCATAATGAACTTGCTTGGGAGCCTCTTTGTACCAGGAGAGAATGACATAAACTAAGCCAATTTTACAAAATAGTCAAGAATATCTTGCTCCACGTTATTTAACTGAACTATTTCCCAAACTATCTAACGAACGTACAAATTTTCGTCTCAGATCAAGAGAAAACTTCACTCAACTTCGAACTGTAGAACCTCTACGTTTCAAAAGTCTTTTTTTTCATCAGCAATCACTGGCTGGAATTCTCTGAACCTAGATGTCCGAAACTCTGTATCTCTTCCCACTTTTAAAGCGAAAACTCGGTCAATTCTCTTTCCGCATACTTACAATAGGTTATATGATTGTTCTTTTACGAGGCGTGCATCTGTTGATCACACCCGCCTTAGACTTGGGTTTTACTGTCCAACAGAATATCTCATCAAAATAAATAGTTGTCGTGTCACTTATTTGCGAGTGCAGTTTTGACTCTGAATCGTTGGAACACTTTTTCTTGTATTGCCCAAGGTATGCCGCTCAACTTAATGTTCTCCTTACCTCTGCCGCTAAAATTCTGGGTGAAACGTGGTCATCGAGTAGAGTTGCTAGGAAACTAAATTTTTTATTGTATGGTGTGGAGTCTGTAAATTGCGTAATCAACTGTGCTTTGTTTCACGAAGTACAAAGTTTTATAATTAACACTAATTGCTTCACTGAGGCCAATGTTTGATTGTTTCAATACTATATATTCCTAGCTTAGTAGGTTTAACTCGTTGTTATTGCAACTTATATGTGTTGTTTATGCATGTGTGTGTGTGTTAGGAGGGGAGAATCTCTGTATTTGGAGTCCTTTCTCTTGTTTGCCCAGGAAACCAAAGGCTACCGAGGATGCATAAACAATTGTCCCAGTTTTTCTCGTGTTCTTCAGAACATGGAAAGCAAGGAGGTCAAATTTGACTGTATCTCCCATTAAATCAGGGGCCCGTTTTTCGAACGTCCCGGTTACTCAAAAAGCCCAATGCCATATTTCTAAGTTAAATTTAAAGATTAGATAAGTAGACTTTAGAACCTTAACCAGTCCATTTTGTTTCTTTAGCTGATAGTTTTATTGTAGAATTTTCAAAACTTTTTAAACCCCTTTCTTGAAAGAAAACAGAACAGCTTTTCGGGCCCGTTAAGGTTCCGGAACTTTCAAGGCTTCAGGTGTGAATTTTAGAAAAATCCACGCATCACGTGTACTCTTTACAGAATTTCATGCGCATGCGTCACGAGTTTTTTTTAGGAAAGCTCAGATCTCACCTTACCTTCTGTTAACATCACGTGTCAGATGTTAATTTTGGGCTTAATCACGCGTCACTTGTTTTAAAAGTTTATGCCACCCTCTTTAAACAGGTGAAAGGAAATCCTTAATTTACACCCCCGCCAACAAGGACTAACTTTATTCTACTTACGTAAGATTGATGGCTAAAACTTTTAGCCGGATTTTCCCTTTTACACGAGAGAAACCAGAAACGTATGCCCAGTTTATATTATATTGTCTTGCCTTTATTGATTTCATCAAAGGAGAGCGGCAAGGTCTCAATGAAGTTAAAAGTTAGACGTAAAATGGTCAAAAAATTTAACCGTTTGGCATAGAAGTTGACAAATTTTAACCGTTGTCGTAAAAAAGGTTATCCGTAAAAATTTCTCCCATTTTGAATGTGTCAAAATCTTGGACTTTTATGTGTCTCGTCTTATGGCCATTGCACGAAAACACAAAATTACTCTGTTGCTTGACTCCAAAGGTAAAAGCGAGCAAGTAGAGGTGTTTTAGAACGATGAAAATTAATTATTAATCTTTTCAAAATGATTAAAATGAATTGTTAATACTTCGGTTAATCGTAGCAGAAAGAAATGAACCGTTCGCTGTAAAAGCCTTAACTCCATTATGACCCTCTGTTCAATGCAAGTGTTAATTTGGCGTTGGGTACAATAGCTATTTTGACAAAGCGAGAGAAACGATTCTGCAGGCGCGCCGACAACAAATTTTCCCCTCTATTTCAAACAGCTTTACGTCAACTTTTCATTTCGGCTGCCAAAATGAAATTTATTTTCTATGACTACAAAAGAAAAAAAAACCGAAAAACCACATACTCTCTCCGGATTTCAAAACAAAAATGCTCAGGAACTCTTCATTTTCTGTTTAAATTCAAACTGCGCCGACTTTGCTTAATTGAAATTTTCTTCCAAAAATACTAAATTATTCCTCTGTGATTAATGAAAGACCACAATACGGAAGCTCAAATCCGGTACATAACGATCGGTAGGAAATTCATTAGTTGCTCCTTAGCCTGTTTCCTGTCAGCGTTTTCCTTTTTGTTTTATTTTGCTGTTTTTAATTTTTTTTTTTCACTTCCAAGATCTCATTAGTAATTTTCCTTTCTGTGTGTCATACAATTGTTATGATGATTTAAATGAAAATGATGAGTTTACATGAAAGAAGATGTTATTCATTTAATGACATTGGAATACTCGTAGAAGGAGAACTCCAAGAACTAGGAGTCGTCACAGACGTAGTAAAACAATTTAGCTCAGCGGTCTTGGTAGAGAATCGATGGATGTACGTTCGACTCTTGTCGGGAACACTCGGAGGTTTTTCTCCTCCGAGTGTGCTTGTGTCATCCACTGATTAACATCTTTTATCACAATTCTTCTGATATTAGTTCGGAGAATTTTGTATTGGATCAACTAATACTCCCCTTATTTTTATCTTTTCTATTCTTATCGCTTTTCTGCTTGATATCTTAGAGATATTGTAAGCAGAAATTCTGTCTTGGCCACTTGAAGACGAAAACACCATCTGTTCATCAAAATTGATTTACTCGGAATAAGTTGCGAGTTTATTAACAACATCATCACGTTGTAACAATTAGCAATCATGGTTTTCTCGCAAGTCCTTGCCAGTGTTCATGCTGTCATCGACCTTGTCGGCCTTCCTGGAAATTTACTGGTCATAGCAACGATTTGTATGGAGAGCAGATTTCATGCGATGCGGTATGTTCTACTTGCCAGCCTAGCAGGATCAGATATTCTCTTTTTGATCCTGGGCAACTCGCCGAGCATCGCAAGTATTGCCCAAGAACGTTGGTTATATGGCGAAACAATGTGTAAACTACATTACCTTGTTTTAAGATATTTCTACTTGAATACGGTTCTTCATCTCGTGGCTGTGTCATACGAACGGTATAACGCCATTGTGAAATCACCTTTGACGTATGATAGTTCCATTACTAGATCAAAAGTTGTGGTTATAGTGCTGATATGGACTGTCCCTGTTCTTGTGTGTACCATCACTTTTTTCGAACATGGAGGAACCTTACTTTATAATCCAAAGCTGTTCTTTTGCAAGGCAACTACAGATGCTCCCGCGTTTCATGCTCCCGCTCCATTAATCGTGTTTGTTGTGCCTATTTCAATAATCTTTTTCCTGAACTGGAGACTTTTAAAAACAGTAAACGCCATCCAGTCTAACGATCAACCAGTCGTATTTTTGGAAAGCACAGCTGCAAGTTCTAACAATGGTCCAAGCCAGCACCAACAAAATGAGGCGAGAAGAATCAAAGATCGGAAGGCAGCTGTCGATGTCTGCATCATAATAGCAGCGTTTGTGATCTGTTTTCTTCCTGAGTGGACCGATTTCGTTCTTCGTAATTACTTTACGGTAGAATTTCCACCCGAAGTTACGCAAACCACGCGTTGTATATACTACATTAGTTCTGTGACCAATCCAATCATTTATTCTGTTCGCAAGAGGGAATTTCGCGGTGGAGTTAAAAGAACGCTTAAGCGAATTGGTGGACCGTGTGCCGTTTTACTTCCTTCTGGTACGGACAACGCAGTTGGTGCGCATGGATTACGGCAAACCCCCACAGGAATCCCTTCAATTGTTGAATCAAGAGCTGCACAGGTTGCCCAACAAAAAGACTCTCTTGATTCTCGGACTTTGAATGTTCCTAAAAGAATTGAAATGAATTTCCAGAGGTGCCATCATCCAACTGAAGAAATCGCTGAATGAATTGAACACTACAACCCACGCTTTCTTACCTTTATGATTTTTTAAGAAGTCTCTCTTAGAGGCAGAAAGAGAATTGTAATTTGTACTTTTTAGCCGAGTGGGAAGGCCAAACGGGAAAATGTTTAGCTTGACGTCATGACACGCGGACAGAATGGTAAAATTCGCTAAAGTTCTGTGTTTTCAAAGACAAGAGCTCATTTCCAAATTTTTTATGATACGCTGACCTCATACTGTGATATGATTGGTGCGAAATACATTCCCCAATGTGCCGATCTAACAACATTCCACTCGATACGCTGTCATAGTTGATATTATTATTATAATTTCTTTTGAAAATAAATAACTTAAAGGTATTCTACTGTAAAAAAATTTCCTCGTTATTTTGAGTCAGAACACGAAACGCAGAATTCACCGAAAAACGAGACTGATTTTCTCCTTTCCGTTTTCTCCTACGTTCAAATCCATAGTTAGAATTCTTGTTTTTGGAAAAAAATAAACAACAGGGAACGAATTTAGGGCCAGACGGCTTTTATCAGACCGGTTTACGTCAACCTGTCCGGCCCTACACCCACAGGCTTTCATTACGGTGTTCCTTGGGATTACGTGGGCGAGTGGGCTACTCTAAGACTGAAAACAAAGTGCATTTATCATAAGCCAGGGTTAGATCAGTGTGCCTGGTCTGGTAATGAGCTCTTATAGAGCTGAATCTGCGCCCCACCCCTCCCCCTCTCCTACCTCAACAAGAATTGCGTTTAGCACCCCCCTCCCATGTGCCCGATGGGATGCGTTTGGCCTTAAATACAACGACGATGAAAAGGTTTCACTTCAAAAACTTTTTTTTTCACTCTTTTCTCTTTTAATCAACAAATTCACTATTATTAAGACAACCATCACTAATTACATTATAAATGTGCGACTAATTTAAACTCTCTCTGGCGCTCCAAAAGTTACAGCTCAATCAAATCAATGTGGTGGGTTAATTTGTGTCCTTTCTTATCTCCATGGATCTAAAAGAGATTGCTCTTACACAACCATATGTGTATAGACAACATAAATTCATTCATTTCCTTAATTTTGGTACTTTTTTTAATGAGAAGTTTCACTGTGGCTACAAGAATCTCACTATAATGGATGTCAATAATTTGACCCATGTAACCAAAATGAAATTGAGAACAAATCGAGTGAAATATTTTATTTCACCTTAGACTATCCCACATAACATTTGAATTTTTAAAATATGTACTAAATTTCTCTCTCCTGGGTTGAAGAAAGAATATGTTTAAAATGCAATATATAGAGATCACATCAATCAATCAGATACCCTGATCTATTTAAACCTAAGATCAGTGTGCATATTTTCCATACTGTTTTCTATACATTTCCTATGGTACTGACACAGACAATGTGTTCAACAATCCAGAGCTTCTCTTGTAGATGATCATTTCCTTGATTCTCATGCCCTTAGTATTTTATTCAACAGTGATACTGTAAGAAGAAGTAACATGTAAATCACTCTTAGGTGTTGAAGGGTTAAACCACAGAAAAATTAAAGTCACAAGAAATTCAGCAAGAAAATCAAACTTTTACCACAGACTGAGCCAGGTAAGTTCAACAAGAAACCTACGGCTGACATATCTTATGATGAGCCCACTTGATAGATATTTACAACACAACAAACACCACACCTGTCCTGCCTAGCCACAAATTATATTTCAAAGGAAAAGAGTTTTTCCTTAAGCCATTTCATCTCTTATAGCTTTACACCCCAACATCAGTATGCACATTCTCAATACTGTTCTCTATACATTTCCATAAATGCTGACAAGGAGAATTTGTTTAACAATCAGGAACTTCTTTAATTGGTGATCATTTCATTTGTTCTTGTGACCTAAATGTGTGATTGAGGGCTGATATTGTAAGGAGAAATTAGAAATTAGATGCTAATCACTCTTAGGCATCAACTGGTTCATCTCAAACCCAGTTTTAAAAAAGTTGCCCACATGAAATGGAGGCAGTTTGTTCAAATCAATTAACTTTGTGTCAAATTTCCAATCTTATCACACCTCACTAATAGCAAAGTCTTTGCCCAGAAGGAGAATACTGACTTATCTAATAAAAATTCTGATTAAAAATTGGTCCTCATTATGGTATCATTTGATCTGCAAATGCACACACAAGTAAAAATTACATGTGGCTTAATGCCAAGCCTTTCATTATGTACAAAAGACTGGTTTTTTTTTTTTTTTAAAATGGAAAATTTGAAATGAATGCAAATTTTTCAGCACTCATATTGTCTGTTAGTAACATTTCTTAAATATGGTCAAAATACTACTTGGTCCAATATGTCTGAACATTTTAGGGAAGATTACAGGTAGAAATGCGACAGTGGCCCATTATGGAAAGTGTCATTCTGAGTGTCAAAACCATAAATCACCTTCACAAAGATGGGGTTATTACCAACATCTTGGCAGAAGTAACAGTGCAGAGTGAACAACCTGCCTAACACATCATTTAAAAGTGATCGTTTTCATAAAATTTGCCACTTTTTCCTATGTTATCTGAGTACTGAGCTTTGAGATGTCCCTTTCCATTTTAGAATTTTAATTGCCACACGAGAGCTTTCCAAAAAGCTGATTCAAGAGCACATACACGCTCATGAAAGAATCATTCCTAACAATAACTACTATTTGTAAAAGAGGTTTTTAAAAGATATCTTGTAGACATGATTAACCTAGTGATCTATGCAGGGCACTTCTCATATTGTATTTTAACTATATTGTGTCCATCATTTAGGGGGTTCTTATCATAGGCACTTTCCAAACAATTTTGTTCTGAGGAGAGCTTTGGACTGTGAGGCGATGGGCTGGTGAAATTGGGATGTTCTGCACTTGTGCTGTTGTGAGAAAGCGGTGTGGAAATATTATCTTGCGAAGTAATGTCTGTTTGTTCAGACTTGGAGAGCATCTGGTCTATTCTTTGTTTCTCTTCCTTTACGTGACTGAAATTCTCCACATCAGAACAGTTGGCAACAACCTCGCCTGAATCACACAAATTATCACTAGGTGCAGAAAAGGCGACTGGTACACCAGTAGGTTCATTCAAAGTGTTTGTAAGCTCGTGATTCTCTTCACCGTCTACATTTATATCAGAATTCCCACTGGCAACTGCTGGGTCTGTAGAAATTTCACTAGAAGCTGACTTTTCAAGCTCTACTCTCTCAACATTTGACACATTTTCATCTGTTCCTGGTACCAAGCTGTTCAAGTTCTCAGCTGAATCAGTGTTCACTTTAACCAAATTTTTTCTACTAGACACTTCATGACCTTCAGTTAAAGAAGACTGAGGAACAATGATGTGCAAATTTTCACCTCCCTCTTCATCTTTCTCTGCTGTGCTCTCAATTTGAGCTGAAGTATCAGTGGTTTTACTTGCATCCTTTTCCTCAAATTTAGTTGGAAATTCTGGTGTAGCTTCTTCACTTATTGGTGACATGGGATCGTTACTGGCAAGTGCCAACAAAGAGCTTGAGGAAGGGGGATTATTATAGAACTCCTGAAAATCAATGCAATGCAATGAGCTAATGCAACTAGTGACCAATTAAAGAAACTGTTAGCTTGATTCCAGTGATAACTTCTCAAAGTGACTTAGATTGGTAACAAAGGATGGAGTTGTGACTAATATTAATTACATAATCAGCTGACCTCCATACAAATTTATTGGTTTTTAACTTAATATGATCTATTGGAGGACAGATGTATGAATGACACCACCATGCATAAACAATTTTTTGCCTCCTCACCAAAAAAGAAAAATAGATTCCATGTTGCTGTGGGTCTGTCACTGAACATTAGTGACACACTTGGCAGCCCCTTATGTGCCTCTTTTTTTTTGTTCTTACCAGATTTTGATGTCTTCAGTGATCTCTTACAGAACAGACGTACAACAACATGGAATGATGACAACTAGCACTACACAGTTGAAACGTCATTTTCTTTATCTTAATTGACTTCATCATGAGACAAACAGTTATATGTTTTATTATTAACAAAAAATCTATTTATTAACCAGAAGGTGAGCTCAAGGATAATTTACAGACACACTAAAATAATACACCCTTAGTAAAGAGGTATACCTTCTTTTCGTGAAGCTCTCCAAGAACCTTTGGAATGTCAGTGGCAGTACTGGGAGGTGATAAACCAAGTGTTAAAAGATGCTCAACAACTTCAGGATGAAGGTTCAATTTACGAGGTGCCTGAAATTGAGTAAAAGTACAAGTTTACATTAAGCAAAAAAATATTTTTTAGAGAAAGTTACTAATGGGAAATCATCAAATATAACATTTAAATTAGTCAGTCACATAATTATTGATGAATTGGGCTGGGAATTATTCTCTGGTACTCTGACAATTCAGGATCCAGCACTTTACTTTTTCCAAGTCATCACTAGACAATCTAAAGTCATAAAAACTGTTGCCAGAAATAAAATTTTAGTCACATAAAAAGGATATCTTTTGCAATGTTACATTAAAGTTTATGCTAGCAATGTTTATCTCTCTGTGTCATGAGCCTTTAAATGCCCGGTAATGATAACGTTCACATTTCCTTCATGACACCCTGAACAGTCATTGGCAAATTTCACTGAAATTATTTTGGTTGGCAAAGTTCATTTCTACTTCCTGATATGGTTGCTGTCAGTAACTCTGACACAACCTAAATGGAACTCAGGTATTCAAATGTTTGCTAGCTTCTTTAAAATGATTAGTACAACTTAACCCATTCGCTCCTAGGATCTCAATAGTAATTCTCTGTACTGTCTGCCATACAATTCTTATGATGTTAACTTGGAGAATTTGGTGTTGGATCAGCTACACGTAATGATCCCCTATTGATACTTTTTCTACATTCTCATCACTTGTCTGCTTGATATTGTCTTGACATGGTAAGGAGAAAATCTATCTTGGTCACTCATGGGAGTAAATGAAACTATACTGTATTTTAGAATCACTCTGACCTCAAAACTCTGACAAATACATCTCCATGCTGGTGAATATTTCAAATACCAATTTTTTTTGTCAATAATTAGGTACAGACCTCTTTTGCTGATGAACGCCTTCCTTTGCGACTGCCTTTGCGTGATATTCTGTGAACTCCAGCAAAGACACCAACCAGATCATCAGCATCTGACTTGCGCCTGAGAAACATTCCCTCACCAGATGAAGAAAAATCAGCACCTGGCAATGACATACCGCTAGATCAAATTTTATCAATACCAAATGCAAGAAACACTGACACTAAAATGCACTCTCTAAGAAACATGTTCGTACTTGCTGATAAAGAGACCACTGGTTCCTTGTCTGTTGAAGCTGCACCTTGAATTTCTGGAAGATGAACCAAACTTGTGTGCAACTTCTCCATATGGCTAATGAGAGTGTCACAAAGTGATTTCTCCTTTTCATAGAGCTGTCGTGTGGCTCTGTTACTGACTCTGCAGTGTAAACAAATGATTTAACCATTTAACTACCACTAGTGATTAACTTGTAACTTCTCACTGCAATTCCCAGTCAGTTAGTGGGTGTTATCTTGATGTAAATGAAATTCTCCTGGCTAATTTACAAGGGAGTGTATCAGTTGGGAGAATAACTAATTGGTCAGTTGGGAGTTAAAAGATTTATTTCAATTAAACTGTTAAAAAGCACAAAGAGTTCTACACAGGGTCACAAAAGCCAAACCTTTCAGATAATCTGAATGTCTTCAAAAAACCAAAATAATTTACTAAATAAATATGTTTGCAACATCTCAGGTGAGATTAAATCATATTTACATGTCTAATCTATCAGTAGGGAACTTATATTCATGTGCATTGATAATTTAAAGGGTTTTCTGTTCATGGAAGGTATATTTTCAATAGGCCATTTTACAGTTGTTTTAGTGGCCAAGCCTATGATTTGGAGTGAGGCTGAAGTTGACTGTGTGGTGATAGAGACCAGTATCTACTCAGCATGATAACAAAGTAATTTCCATTTGAAAAGCAGCAAGGTTTGAATCATGACAAGGTCACCCTTAGCCTCACTCCTGTTTAAAGGCTTGACAACTAAGAATGCAACTGTAAAATGGACTATTGGTGATTTGTTAAATTTAAATCATGTGGAACAATTCCAGCATTTTTTATTTGTTGAGAGAGACTGGGATGAAATTACTGAAGTAGGTGAGATGGGTACAGAGCACAAAATCACATGGCTTCAAATTTCAGATTTCTTAGCATAAGGGTTTGATCCCTGCAGTGCACAATCAAAAGAGTGGACCTCTCTGGTGTAACATTTAGGTTTTTGCTGATCAAGTTTAGGGATTGTCAAATACTTTAAAGGGCTTAAATTTCACTTTACTGTATACAGCTGTTTGCAGAAAGGCTGTTAGATAAGCACAGAGCACCAGACAACCCCATAAGACATTGTGGGCAGTTTTTAGTTCATGGTTCCTTGACCTCAGGAATTCAGGAAAATTGAAGAAAATATCACTGTTAGGAAAAGGCTGAGCAGGATTGATGAATTTCTTATATTTTAAACTTGTGAAAAACAAAAAATAAGGAACTGATTCAAATGAAAGACAAAAATGACGCAAATTTTATAAGAGCAAATTTGAAGTACCCTGAAGAAAAAATGGTTTACAACATAATACTCTATTGTCCTGACTTCCTCCTGCACTCACAAACATGTTGGTATCCATCCCCAGTTCACTAGCCCCTTTGCCCATAATTGTTTGTTTCACTTATTAAAACCCACTGATTACAGGATAACCAGATTACCTTTTGAGATTGTTGGGTGCTCTTTCTCCTTTTTTCCCACAACCTTTTCGCAAACAGCTGTAACTTACCCCCCCCTGACCCACCTGCCCCCCTCCTAATCTATGTACTGTCTTCAAATCTCCCTAAGCCAACTTAGGGAGATTCGAGATTTGAGATTTTAGGCTTAAAACAGTTTTTCACTCATTTGCAAACCATAAAACTTCCATAAGAGGTAAACAGGTACTGTCAATGCAATTGGTTCAAAACTTACACAGCTTTCATCATGGTTTGCTTTTCATTCTTTCTCCTTGTGGCCTCCTCTCTTTGTTTTTGAGACTTCATTTCTCTAATGGCCGAGTAATAATCATTCTTTTCCTTAGAAAACTTTGCTTTCCGCTCTCTTTTCTCGCTATGAAGGTCATCCAGCTCTTCAAACCAAAGAGAGAAATGTGAGAATTTATCTAGACATCGATAAACAGATTTTACTTACAATCTACTTTGCAAGTACCCTTTGTACTTGACCCAGCCATGGAAAACAAGCTACTTCAAAAAACCAAGTGTTTTTCTGTTCATAAAAAAGATCTTTTCAGAGGTCATCACAACCAACATTGTTCATACTATTTCCAAAACTCTAGCTTGTGTTTTATCAGGGCATCCCAACACTAAGAAACAAAACAAAAGTACGAGACTGTAGACCGAGTGTTTTTATTGTTGCAAGGTGCTTGGAAATCCTGACAATTCATGAGCTAGAGTTTTGGAGATAACTTCTCCCTCTGAAAAAAAATAATTTAAGACTGCCAATTTGAATTTTTTGCAATGTAACATTCCACCCCTTTAGCCCATTTCTTCCAACAATTGTCTCTGTTGATCGGAAATTCAACGGCTCAGGTTCACACACTGGTTTAACCCTTTAACTCCCAAGATCTCATTAGTAATTCTCCTTACTGCCTGCTATACAATTCTTCTGATGTTACTTGTGAGAATTTGGTATTGGATCATCTACTGACAGTAATAACCCCATAATAGGCCATTTTACAGTTGTGTGCTTAGTTGCCAAGCCTTTGATTTGGAGTGAGGCTGAAGGTGTCCTTGTTGTGATAGAGACCAGTATCTAGTTAGCATGATAACAAAGTAATCTGCATTTGAAAAGCAGCAAGGTTTGTATGATAACAAGGTCACCCTTAGCCTCATTCCTGTTCAAAGGCTTGGCAACCAAGCTCACAACTGTAAAATGGACTATTGATACTTTTCTTGGTTCTCATCACTTGTCTTCTTGATTTTGTATTGATATTGTAAGGAGAAATTCTGTCTTGGTCACTCATGGGCATTAAAGGGTTAAGTAAGGTTCCCTATGACCTACCACAAAGTATTCATTGATTTCGTGCAAGTTTTCAATGTGCAAATTTAGTGCTGTATACATGTCTACCGACCTCACGGGAGAATGCTTTTTACTTTTCTGCCCTGGTTATTCGAAGGGTTAATATCGCTGTCCACTAAATATATCTCTATCCAATGGATAATAATTATAGTACATTTTGTTAACACATATCCTCTAGAGAGTGTTTTATCTGTCGGATAGAAATATCCACCCTCTGGACCAACCAGAGCCAGTTTCTGAAACAGCAATTTCATCAAGCAGCTTCACTGTACAGATTTCGCACGAGAAATATAAAGGCAAAAGCCTTGATTTAAAGTTATTTACCTTTTTTGAGAATTTCTATTGTATTCAGATGTTCACGCTGCTGAATTTTTGCTTCTTCATTTTCATTACAGACATCAGCTGAATCTAACTGGTTCTTCAACTTCTCTTCTCTTGCCTTCAAGCCATTTATTCTTCTCACACATGCCTGATAAGTGAGTGATAAGCATTAATTTTGTGGATAAAAGATAGTTTGCTAATTACTAGTGAACTGGCAATTGTTAATTATACCAGAAATAAACTATTATGTGCCTGACGAAGTGGAAAAGAGTTACTTCAAGCAATATTACAAAATATTTTTTACCCACAAATTTTCATCTTCTTTATGGTAAATAAGCACATTTAAAGACAATTTTTTGACAGTGAACTTTTGTTATTCCCTAAAATCAAGAAATGCTGCCAGTGTCTTACAAAACCACAGTGAAAGCTGTGTATAGGACAGCAAGGGTTGATGGAACTCCATGTAGAAAAAAGCTGAGTTGTCTAGCCCTGCACTGACAATGCTGTAGCATTTTCTAAAAACTTCAGTTTTCACTGTCTTAACCCTTTAACTCCCAAGATCTGATTGTTAATTCTCCCCTCTAGCTGCTACACATTTCCTCATAAATAAGTTACAAGAATTTGGTGTTTGATCAGGATAACAATTTCTACCTGATAAGTGTGAATATTCTCATGACCTGTTTGCTGGATAATGTTTAGATATTATAGGGAGAAGTTACATGTGAATCACTTCTGGGAATTAAAGGGTTAAACTTAGAGAAATTAAAACTGGAATGAAAAAGGGAAAAGCATTACTCTCTTCTTCTGACTTGCTGTTGGAAACAGTATGATGTGTTAATTAGTCAATTTGATTGACACTTATATATTAAGTGATTTCCTTGGTCTATAACACGACCAAACAAACATCTAGCTGCAGATGTTTTTTCACTCATATATGGCCTTGTTCAATGTGCTTGCAACAGGACATTTTTGTGTCTGTTACTTTCCAAACAGCTAAGAGTTGTGAGTGGGAGTTAACCCAGGCATTGTAACAGAATCATAATTGAATAAACCATGAATCAATAAAGAAGTGTGCTGCAGCTTTTTCACGCTTTCAACATTGCATGTTCAATAACAACTATTTAAGAATCTGTAGCTCAGTCCATCATGCACCTTTCTCATGTTAGTTATCACATCTTATTTAGTTTCAAACATAACATTTAATTTTTTTTCAAACCTTGAGGTCATATAATAACATACTTATTGACTGAGTTTGGTCAGACTGGACAGGAAAACATTTGGCCCTTAGTCATGATTCACAAACCTCACTGCAATCAGGCACACATCATGACTGAATATTTACTATCTAGCCCTTCCACTCAGTCAAGAAATGGATATTAATCCCTAATCCTTCCTTAAAAGTAGAGATAAATACCTACATGTAATTCTACTGTTTCTAGAGCAAACTTTGTCTTTAAAGGAAAGAGGTCTGTCTTTGATGCAAAATGTAATCTTACAAGCTTTGTATGTTACTCACATCTCTCTGTGACCTTAAGTGTTTCTGTTTGTTCCTCAGCTGGTCCACATGCTGTTTAAGGTCTAAGTATTCCCTGTAGTGAAATAGAAATATTTTCAGTTTTTTTTTTTTTTTGCATTCATTGTTGAAGGTTTTGAAAGTAAACTGTTCACACATCTGATGAACCTTATGGAAATGTCTCAGAGTGTACTTAAAAGATAATTTTTTTTTTGTGCTTGCTTGCTTGAATGTGTTGAATGCAGTTTCCATCTCAGTAACCATTCAGTGATTCTTCAAAAGTTGGATTTTGCTTTCTCAAAAATAGATTGCAAATGAAAAAAAAAAACAAACAAAACATCATCAACATCAACAAGAACACCAAGGCATCCTAAATGCAAAACATAATTAAGCTCTTTTAATCTCAAGGTTTAATTAAACTCTTCCAATCCCAAATCTCATTACTAATTCCCATTACCATCTACCATGATATGATTATTATAAAGTTAGTTCAGAGAACTTGGTATTGGATCAACTAATAATCCCCTGGCTGATTGATATTTTCCTTCAATCTCATCACTCATTTGCTTAAATATTGTACTGATATTGTAAGGAGAAATTCTGTCTCTTACGGAGTTCAAGATTTAACAGAAGTCACCACTTGGGATTCCAATCTACTTGTTTTACCCTTTAACTCCCATGAGTGACCAAGAAAGAATTTCTCCTTACAATATAAATACAATATCAACCAGATAAGTGATGAGAATAAAGAAAAATATCAATTTGGGGATAATTTGTTGATTCAATTCTAAATTCTCTGAACCAACATTACAAGAATTGTATGGTTGACAATAAAGAGGTTTACAAATTTGATGCAAGAGTTTAAGGGTTCACCCTTAAACCCCTAAGAGTGACTGGCATCCTATTTCTCCTCACATCATCACCTTTAAATCACACAGTAAGGTCATGGGAATAAAGAAAATGATCATGAACTAAAGAAGCTCTTGATCGTTAAACAAACTCTCCTAGTCAGCACCTTAAGAAATGTATAAAGAACAGTATAGGGAAAATGCATGCTGATGTTCAGGTGTAAAGGGGTTATCCTACTCATGTTACTTACTTTAAACTTCTCTTTGATCGCTTGAGTGTGTCAATCTCTGCCACAATCCTTTTCTCCTCCCTTAAATTAAGTTGCTGTGCCTGCATCTGGTGTTCTAGTCTCCTGCACAGACATACCAACCTCCAATTAATTGAGCCACTATTTTTGATCACTTTGATTATGTGACGTTATCGTATAACTGACGGTGTTATCATAGCTTGTACAGGTTAACATCTCTTTGTTTCAGACTGAAAGAAAATCTGCATGACCACGAGATTTTCTTCAACATTAGCCAATAACAAATTTATTGTAAACATATTTCCTCTCTCACTTTCGTGCATGACCAATAAGTAATTTCTCCTTAAAAAATGAACACAATATCAGTCAGGAAGATGATGAGAAGTTCACAAAATATCACCAAAGGACACAATTTGATTAAAGATCAAATTCTCTGAGTTACAATCATGAGAAATGAATAGAAGACAAAGTGGAGAATTTAAATTGAGATCATGTAAGTGAAATGGTCAATGGCAAGACAATGATTCAACAATTAGTGAGATAAAAAATACACAAACCTCACAGCTTCATCTATTCTGGCCTCTGATTTGTATCTTGTTGCTGCTTGAAGCTTTGTGCATGCATCATTCTAGAAATTAAATAACAAAAAAAGAAATAAATAAAATTTAAATTATTCCCCATCCTCCCTCCAAATGGAACCAACATTTCCTTCTGTTCTAAAAGAGACTGTCATGAGAAGGTCCATGGTACTTCATGGTGAAGATGCATGGAAAGAAAATATATGGCCAGCTGAAAAATCCATTTCTACAATTTTTCCTTAGCAGCCGGTATTTTTTGTTTAATATAACTTTGCATTTCCCTTTAACTTGTTAAATTTTATAAATTACCATTTAAATCTTGATTGCATTATTTTTTGGCATTTTCAAGATGGGAAACTCACAAAATCTATGGTGGGTGAATACAAATTTCAGTTCGCTAAATAATTGTCACTCAAAGAAAACGTGTATTTGGGTTGAATAAATTAACATCAAATTTCAACATCATCCCTTTGGAAAAAAACCACGTTACTGTAGACTAAACAGATTTGTTCCTCCAAACACATCGTTACAAAAATTACATAATAAGGTCAACTGGCTATAAAAAGATTTTTTTGTGATGATCCAATTCCAATTTAGTTACAAACTTGAGTTATATTTCATAACTCCGATAAATCGCATTCAACAGAAAAATGGTCGATTGTAATCACATCAATAAATTAAAAAAGCAAAGAAGCTGGTAACCCTTCAATTAAAAGGAAGATCACAGATCAATTCAGAGAATAACAATAAAATAAATCGGAAACAGCGGTTTTATAGCGGTTTACCACTACAATTTTTTTCGCAACCTACATGTCACTTGCTAAAAATAGTTTAGAAACATACTGTCGTTGTGGTATTCGCGAATTTCGAGTGCAAAATACAACATACCTTCTTCCGAACTTGATCATTTAACCCTTTGAGTTCGAGATCACACTGTTTCCTTTCTTCGATGACTTTCTCGCGCTGAGTGCGAAGGTCTTGAAGTTCTTCGTGCAACTTCTCCTTATCGACCGGGGCAGCCGACTTGTTAATTCTGCCCCCAGACAGTAACACTTGCTTTTCGAGTGATTTCTACAAGCAAAGAATTAAGGACATTTATAAACAAATAAAAAGAAAGAAAAAACGATTTTACACCTGCGATAACAACAACGAAAACGACAAGATATCTCTCAATGAAAGGGACTCATTCAAAATCGGCTTAATCAGCAAAGTGCAACAAGTGTTACCAATTTCTCTTCGGTCTCTCGAATTCTTGAACCAATTTCATCCATTTGAAGCTGAAATATCTTACTGTTTGGCGGTTTAAGACTTTCTGATGCATTTTCGGCAACAGCTGTACAGGGATAAACAACAGTTCGTGAGTTACTCAAGATAACCGACAAGTTTTCCAATAAAATCACGCTAACTACTTAAAAGTACCTTGGCAGATTTTCCAATTACTGTTAATCGAATCATTCAAAGGCGACTCTATCTGTCCATCCTCCACCTCTCCGCTATTTTCATTGTTCATTTTACGTCCTCAGCAATGCTGGGAGACTCCTCGAAGAGTGCTACCATAAATTTTCGTGTCACATTTTAGCGATTATCACCACCAAAATAAATTCATCCGACCGAAAACCATAACACAAAGAGGCTTCAAACACGTACAATTTTCTCCGCTTGCATCATGGTTATAAAAAAAAACGGGTAAGCCTGGGGAGAAGCACACTTCTCCCTAACTAGGGTCGGGTCGGGGAGCCTTTATTTTTCAGTTACCTTTTTTTCAGTTCATAACTTTATTTATTTTCATCTGTATGTTCCTTAATTCAAATGTCTGGTAACGAGTCCTTTTGAGAAGCTGAAAATTTTGGAATTTATCGTTATATAAATCAGTATAATTAAAAACTCTTTCCGACGAAAAATTTTTTTAAAAGTTTTTAAAGCAACGAGCACATATCAATCGATAAAATGGATGACAACAGATTGTTTGGCAAATCGTAAAAGAAGAGAGTCAGAACAACTCACGGTCTGGGTAATGTGAGCATCGATCATGTGTACGACAAAAAATGGCCAAATGTTTGTAGCATTTAAAAGAGTTTTTACGAGTCTGACTCACGTCACCAAACGGTACCCTTATACCCCTCTTCTACACAAACAAAGTAAAGTAAAAACTAAAAGGAAAGAAAAAGGAGAAGATCAGTACACCCGACTTTCCGTACTCAGCGTCTAGTCTCGTAACCATATCCTACTGATTAGCTGTAACTAAAATGTAGGATCCTCACAACCGCCCAGCCGTGGAGGCCTGGGTTAAAAGCTTCCCAGTGTCTTGTAAAAGTGATGATGACACTTCAGTACTTTACCACAATCATCCTATGAAGGAAAGAAGAAAAAAAAAGACACCAAAAAAAACAAAACAAAACAAAACAAATTTAAGTCGGCCATTTTAAAATCATTAAAGTATTCTCTTCGTTTCGGCCAGATCTTTTTTTTTTAACACATTTATATAATTATTTATTTCATTGTTAATCCGTTCAATAAACGCACGGAGGCAGCATGACCGATCGTAAAAAATTTGGAGAACTTGTCTCACAGTATATATTTAAAGAGACATCTAGTTCAAACATAGATTTGCTCGACAAGCCACCCAGGCCCGCTTCACATAACCTTCCCTTCAGTACTGCAAAAGATAATAACCTTTTTTTTTCATCATTTAGCGGCTAACAAGGTTATGAGGTTGATATTTTTAATCAAAGCTGCCGATGATTTTGCTTCCCCCACCCCCATACTGTAGGGCAGTGACACTGCATTCAGCGGGCACCCAACAACTAGCGAATGTTAACGAGAGGTTCAAGAACCGCCCGAACATCCCCCGAAATGGAAAAAAAAACCAAACAAACAAAAATCATTTCTTTTCTATTTATTCCAATTTCAAAAATATTTTCATCAAGCATTGCAAGGTGGAATAAAAGTACATGTAACAAGAGAGAACGAAGGAAGAATGGAAAAGACCACTATATTTTTCTTCCACTTTAAAGAGCGGTCGATGTCGACCTGGAACCATTCTACTTTTCGTGACTTTTCCGGAATGTGTTCGGAAAGCTGTGATCTCACGTGACTTGAAGGCGGAAGTTGGTCCGAGTATGTAAAGATCCAGCGTAAGAAGTAACTTCTTTTTCTGCACTTTACATTTGTCTATTAAAAGAGCTTTGAGATGGAAAGAGGATCTTCGAATGCACTCAATGCGAATTCTGTGAAAGATACAGGGAAAAGTGAAGACCTCAAGAGCGGAGCATCTTGTAGCGCTGAAGTAATCGTGGATCAGTGGATTGATGTTATGTTTATCTGTAGCGAGTGGGGCTCCTCGAAAGGTGGATTATCAACGTTTAACAGGGAAATTGCTGTGAATCTAGCGAAGTATTCGAAAGAAAGAATTAAGGTTCACTGCTTTGTTTGCCAAAGCACAGAAGAAGAACGAAAAGATGCGAGCAGCAATGGTGTCCATTTAATCACAGCACGGCGCCCTCCCGGATCCAGTGATTCACTTGAATGGATTCGAATTCCTCCACCAGAGCTTCGTAATCCTAACATCGTCGTTGGCCACGGTAGGAAGTTTGGTGGTGCGGCTTATTCCATTCAGCAAATAACAGGTTGTAAGTGGATACACTTTGTTCATGTGTATTGCGAGGATCTTGGAAAATTCAAGCTGGAATGCAATGTTACGGCTGATGCAATTGCAGATAACGAAGAGAAGAACAAACGAGAACTGGAGCTGTGCAAAGCATCTAACTTAGTCGTTGCAGTAGGCTCCCTACTACAAAGAAAATATCAAAGAAGTTTGCCAGATTTTAAAGTAGAAGTCATTACTCCAGGGATTTTCGAAAAGTTTGTCAATCCAACCACAAGGCCGCGTGAATGGATGAAATTTGAATCATCAGGAGAAGACGAGTTTCGTATCTTCATGTTCGGTCGGGGAAGCTTTGAGGACTTTGAACTGAAAGGATACGATATAATCGGTAAGGCTGTGGCCTCATTGCAAAGAAGATTCGAGCTCACTTTTGTTGGTGCACCACAAGATCAACAACGGAAGATCGAAAAATGGTTCCTGGAGGAAACGAAAATAACTCGGAATCAACTAACCATCAAAGGCTTTTGTAATTACAAAGAAACGAGAGAGATATTTCGTCAAGCGGATGCAGTTGTGATGCCATCCCGCACCGAGGGCTTCGGTCTGGTTGCCCTGGAGGCCATATCGGCTGGTGTGCCTTTACTGGTCTCCAGGGAATGTGGGATAGCCAAAGCCCTCCAAACTGTGGATGGTGGGATGGCTGTGGTCATCCCCTCAGCTTCACCAGAGGAATGGGCAAACAGAATCCAAGAGCTATCACAACAATCACCAGATGAGAGATATGCCTCCGCTGTGCGTCTGAGAGAGAATTATGGGAAGAGGTACCACTGGAAGGAAGAAAGTGAAAAGTTTATGAAGATGATTCTGCAGTTGGCTCCCAATCCCTCTCCTAAGGAGACTATAATTACAGGTTTGCTTTTGTAATGATAACTGTAATGTCTAAGTCAATGTCAATTTCAAAGAATGTTTGCACCATGAGAATTACAGCTACTGACTTCCCCAAGAAAGATTTATTCCTTTGTAATAGAAACAATTGTGTTACTTTCAAGTGCATACCTATTAGATGATCAGGAACTGTCTCCAATTCTTGTTATTGGTCACTGAAGGTTGCTACTCATTAATGCCCTTACTGTCATTTTTTAAAAAATAATCAAGAGAGAGATCACTTATTTAAGACATTTTTTTGCAAGATTACTAATTGTATTTCCTTGAATAAGAGCCCATGTTCAAATAAGTGCCCCCCCCCCCCAAATAAGCATTCACCACTTAGACTGTAATTTCCAAAAAGCACCCCCTCGAATTTCTGCCCCCCCCTCCTCCCTCATTTTGTTAAAATAGTAGGGATACAATGAAAACCTGTTTCTATTGCTGCTTCATTTAATTGTAACTTTTAGGACTTTACCTATAGTGGAATCAGTGCAGGAGAATAGTTTCTTTACCATTCAGTTATTTTAATCTCCACGTGATTGAAGAGTTCTGTTAGGTGTCTAATCTGTTCTTTTTAATTTCATGCCACTAAGCACCTTCCATCCAGGAAGTTACCCCCCCCCCCCTTGCAGGCACTTATAGGAGGAAATATGGCATCCTGAAATTAAATTGACTTTATTTATTTCCTTTATTTCCAGGAAAGGTTCCTTGTAGTTCAAACAATAAAGAACAAACACAAAGGAAGGAGGTTTTGACAGCAAAAGGTAAATTTTGGATGATAATTGTAAAATCCATGAGCAATGAGTAATATTTGCTTGGAAGGACACAGGTCTAAAAAAAATCAAATTATTTATAAAAATTAATATTTTCATGAGTATTTTTACAGCATACACATCAATTTAACAATTTTGTGAAGAAAGTAGAATTGTGTCATCTAAAATTTTGCAAAGTGTTTTGCACCATCAGTTCAAAGCTTCAACATCCCTCCCACAGGCAACACCTTGGGTAACCTCACCGCCATTTGCCCAATTGGGTTGCCTAGAAGGGGGTAAGATGTTGAAGCTTTAAAATGATTGGAAGCCAATTTGTTCTGATCCTTTGGACCCTGATCCATAAGTTTGCTCACCGTAACAAAAGAGACGTAAATCCTTCATCAGTCAGTGTAACCAGATTTATTCGAAGTAAATTTTCGTGGTGAAATGAGAAAGGGTTTTCACCAGCGAGCATGACAATACAATGACAATCCCTAAATCACATGGAAAATCAATACCATGATACCTTGCTACAATGCTAAACTGTGTGGTAACGCTAGACGCATGACACGCGTGACAGAACACAATTATATGTAGGCTAGCCATGATGTCAGCTTATCTGATAAATATTTCTCCTCACTTTCTGAAGGTGATCTTGCACACAGTGGCCTAGAAGTTGGCAAAAGAGATGGAAGGGAACAAAGTGAGTCTGCACCAGGTGGGTGAATGAACATTTAAAATTGCAGGTTATACCCTAATTTGGTTCTTTTCTTAAAAATAAGTCTGCATGATATTGTTTGAACTGTACAACAGTTCTCTGACAGTCAGAGGGTACAGTTACAAAATACTACTGTAACATTTAATGCTTAATTGTTGTTGAAAGATTGTATAAAAGTCTGCTGATATTTTCTGTTAATGTTGCACAGCATTTAATGGTGAAAATTCTGAAAGTTCTATGTTTTGACACAAAATCTTCTATTAAACAATACTTTTTTGACATCTATTTACTCAAACACAATATTTGCTGAGCCTTAGAATCTTCAGAATATCATTAGGCTTTGCTTGAAGTCCTTTGTTTTCACTTTACAGCCTCAATTTGCATCTTAAGGGAATCGTAGTGTTGTTGACTCAAAAACTTATTTTACTGCTTTAAGACCTGGATGTTTATTATTTTCCAGGCAGAGTATTTTATAGCATCTTTACTTTTCATTTTGTGTTCTAGAAGGTCTAACATAATCAGAAAGGTACGGAAAATTAGACTTGAAAATATTGGATTATTTCTTGTCCACCACATGGCATGGGCAGTTATGGGTGGTTCAGGTGTCAATGTTTAAACTGAAAAATTCTTATTCCTATCCTCAGCCTTACAGATATGTAAATGCATTACTTTTGTATTTTGTCCTGTGTATAAGATCCAGACACGTCAGACAAAACAGCACAACAAACAAGAGAAAGAAGGACAGGTGGGCAAGTGGAAGGTACATATATTTAACTCATTTTGTAGAATGCCACAAAAAAATGCAAATTATTTCTTGTTATTGTACCTTTTGTAGACCCAATTAAGTGAGGATATTTGCATATGCTCTTCATCAATATGAGGATATGATTAAATCATTTTGACCACTGATGGAGACAGTTTTTTTCCTTTGGTTTGTGAACAGTAAACAGCTGCCTGCTTTCAGCAGAATTGAATGATATGAAAACTAGAAGCTGTTTAAAACTAATTAAGAATTATTCTGAGTTAACATACAGCAGTTATCATTCAGTATGCATGATTTTAATAGTTCCTTGAGGCGACATTTTCTTGGAAACCCAACATCAGCTTGTTGTTCAATTTTATTGAACAAATATTCTACCAATCCAACATTTTTTGTAGCAGTGAAATGATCCAAGGAATTATAAATTGTACAAAACAATGAAAACAGTTAAAAAAAAGAAAAATGGCTGCATAGGGCTATTATATATTATAGAGGTGTATGCGTTGCAATTTATGAATATCTTAATTCAGTTTTCACTGCAGATCAAGACACCTCAAATAAAACAAGAGAAAAAACAAAGGGAGACAAGAAAAAAGTTCAAGCTGCAGGTATGTATATTAATTGCCTTTTTAAAATTTTATTAGTTACATAATTCTAATTAATCAGTTGGAACCCAGGGATAATTTTGATTGCTCATACTGTCATCCAACTGGTGAAATAACCCAGCTTTTTCTTTATTTTGTGTATTGAGTCTACAGCTACTTAACTATATAGTTTTCTGCACTTAAGTTATAAGAAAATTAAAAGCTCTTTAAAATTGATTAAGATATTCTTGTTTCGGTCTTAATATATACCAAGTACTCTGAGATGACCATCTCCACTCAATGCTAACAATAGAAAACCTCTTGACTGTGACTAGTGTAAATGCTAGGTGTCCTGTGCACTAGGCCCAGTCTGCGCCGAGGTGTTGTCATTCGACACTAGGTCAAACCTCGGCATATACGTGCTTTTATCGCTTGTTATTTTCGCCTTTATTTCTCGGATAAGGATCGTTTAACTAGTCTCGCATCGAAGGAATAGAACATTACGGAAGCATTACGGATATTTCAGCAGTTTTCAAGGTTACGGATAGAGACAATTGCTTGTTTGTAAGGATTTCTTGTACGGTATTGTATTCGAACGGTGTGCTGAGCGTAGTTGATCGGATCGAATAAAACGTGGAATTGACATCGAATTGACGGCTGTTACAACTAGAAAAGCGCAATTTCATTTTCACTGACCTAAAATCATCATTGATAGTACTTAAAGAAGGTCATGATCATAACTTCAGTGTTTTCATTCTATGCAGCTTTAGACACTTCAAATGAAACAAGAGGACAAACACAGGGAGACACGGAAGAAGTGCAAGCAGCAGGTATTTAATATTTGTCTACTTGCAGGATCCTTTAGGTAAACAAAAAACTCCTGTAAAGGAGTGTTGTCAATGCCAGCTGTGAGCACAGGCATCCCAAGCTCACGTCTTCAGAAACTGGAGCAGAAACGTCAGTGAATAACTTCCTTAGACTAGTTCATTTTCTTCAACTTAAAACAGCATGTATGCCACAGCATCTTCCAGTCTAATACTATGACCAACTACTGTATTTCCTCATGTTAGCGCTCACGTTCTAAGAAGTGCCCTCCCCCGAGGCCATTATATCAAACAACCTCCCCCCTAGAATTATCACTTCTGCTTCTCCCCCACTTTCCTAAATAAAAGGAAAACCTGATTCTGTTACCACTTTATTGATGACTTTTTAAGCTTCAACTTAACTGCTAAATAAGTACAGTTTATAATTTAATTCTTACTGAACACCCTTCTCGATTAAGCAACTTCCTTCCACTAAGTGCCCCTCCTTCTAACCAAAACTTTAAATAATTCGCACCTGGACACCACTTAATGTATGTAGAACTTCTGTAAATATTCTTGCTTTGCTTTCAACTTATAGGGAAATGTATGGAAATACCTGTAGAACTACATTATCCCAACACTTATAAAAGCACTATTTGAGTAAACTTCAGAAAGAGATTGAGTGTGTAGATAAAGCCTTGAAGCAATGTAGAAGGAAATGAGTTAGTTCTCAAACCAAAAATGATTTAATTGGTAATCAAAGAAGAGCTTAATTTACTTGCAGTATTCATGTTGGCTTGTGGGTCATTTAGCACTTGGATCAAACGATATTAATGTTTGTGCTTGCCCTACTCTTTCTTCTACAACACTTCCCACTCTTCTGACTTTTTCAATGAAGCTTAGAGGAGGCAAAATATTCTCTCGCTTCTACTTAGCACTAATATAGTAAATATGTTCCACATTTGAGTCTTAACTTGTGTTTTTCTTTTTGTTCATGAGATTCAGCTACTGTGACAAAATACTGTTGGACGTACTCAGGCATGAATTATTGGGTCATATCTATAAGCAGTGAACTTACGCACGTAACAATGATATGCGCATTTGAGGTTGTGAGTTTTGTGTGGCTTTTGAACATGTAACTGCTTGGTTTACAGTGGAGTATTAAAGTAAGTGTTTTTAACTTAAACTCATTGTTGCAGGTACAGCTACATATGTTTCAACAAAACGAACACAGAGAAATAGAAAAGAAGTTTGGACAGCAACAGGTACAGTTGTAGAAGGAAGACACCACGTGTCTATTAGCAATTTATGTACCGCAACCAATATGAAATATGAAGGGGGAAGGGGGGTTGAGGAGAACGTCTTGGATAAAACAACAAGGAAGGACTACAGGGGAGGGACTGGGACTCCCTAGGAATATTAGACTTTTTCCTTTAATTTTATGTAACATTCCTATTTTGTTGCCTTGGTTTAATCCCCTTTAATGCCAAAATTGATCAACATGTAATTTCTCATAATATTGTCGTTTAAAGCATCATCTTGCAAAAAGGGAGCAAGATTGATTTTAAGGACAGAAAGGAACATTGAAACAATGTGGAAGTGAGACAGCACAACGGACGTTTAGACATCCATCATTTGTTGTCTTTTAAATGGAAGTCTGTTTGCAGGATTCCAAACTAGGTAGCATTCCATAGTGTGATATTTCTCTCTTTTCTCCGATGAAAAAGGTCCAAACACTTCTTTAAAGAGTAAAACAATTGATAGTATAGCCGCAAACGCTAATCACTCGTATTTCAAACTTTACTAGAACAAACTTGACACATTGTTGAATACGGTAACTGAAAATGACAAAATTACAAACACGCGAATGAGCATAAAATAACTTACATCGTATGAGTGAAAGTACTGGAAAACGACAAAGCGAGATAAACAAGGATACTTACAAGACGAATGTGACCAAACCAAAGACGAAAACATGAAACCCAGAGCTAGATATGTAACGACAATTTTCGCAAACTAGACAACTAACCAAATAAATTACGCGCAACCAATATATATACCATATGCAAATAAATATAACAAGTACAAAACTGGTAACTGACAAAGGACACTAATGGAAGACGAGAAAATAATCACCTAACACGAAACTATGAAACACCAACACTAACAAAAAATGATAATACAAATTCTTGCGCCTACAGATAGGAATAAACAAACAAAGTCTGTTCAAGGTGAGTAAACTTTACAACGCTTGTCATTCGATTATAACTGTCAATAAACTCTAAAAACAAAGAATAAGGCTGGTCGGTGAACATTGCAAACTAGTGATTCAGAAGTCATAGAACGTGATTGATCTTTGTAAGTTTTCCAAAATTCCAAGGCTATGAAGAATTATTTTCTGTAGCATAAGTTTGATATTCTGTTTGTAAAACTTTGAGAAACTGAAAATAAAGCGAGTCGAGGCTTCACTTTAGCTGTGTTGTTAACAGGAAGTTGCGACTATTTTTGATTACTAATCGTGATAGTAGACAGAACAACTTGGCTGAATACCAAAGTGATGGCTCACAGGCATGTTCAATCACAACCAGAACTTGACACAATTAACGCAATTAATATCGACGAAGCTTCGACCGCACGTTTAGAGATCAGTAGAGCGAATTACCATTAGTTCTGGTGAGAAGTGTCTATCATAAGATCAAGACGGGTGTAACAAACTAATCTAGATTTTTTAATTACTCAATTCAACTAAATAAGAAATTTCTCTTTGAACAAGGTCCACATTGATAACAGTTCTTGAACTGAAACCTTTACTTGGTCTTAATTTTCCCCTCAAAGTTACTGGTTCCGTCACAACTCTCCCCTCTCTACACCCTTCTTGCATAATTTTGCATTTCTTAATTTCTTTTCAAATTGTTTGATTTTAGGTGACACTTTTATGGGCTAGGTCAACATATCAAACAAGAACATTACCCCTCCCCCCATCCTTAATCGAATAATTATCCTCTCCTTGTCTCTCACTTTCCAAAATAAATGGAAAACCTGATTCTATTACCACTTTATTTATAACTTTATTAAGCCTCAACTACAGCCAAATCAGAACAGTTTATAGTTTCATTCTAAAACACCCCCTGAATTAAGCGACTTGCTTTTAATAAGCGCCCCTCTTTTTAGCTATAACTTGAAAGAATTCATGCCTGAGTGTTTGTTCGAGGTAATGCATGTAAAGTTATCAAATGTGGTGAAGCAAAGACCCTCGTGTACCAGTAATTTCTGATTGGGATGAAGCTATATAATATATGTAGTATTTCTGTAACGGTTTCTGGTCTTTCTGCTTTACTTTCAACTTAAAAGGATATGTACGGAAATACTTGTAGAACTTTATCAATTAAAGTACTATTTGAGAAGGAATGAGTTAGTTCTCAAAAAAAAAAAAAACAATGGTGATCAAAGAAGAGCTATTTACATGTATTCACGTTTGCTTACAGGTCATCCAGCACAAATGGATCAAAAATATCAGTAACGATTTTCCATGTATCTCTTTTCTACAAATTTCTCGTCGCTCTAATGACTTTTTTAATGAAGCTGAAAGGAGGCAAAAGATTCTCTTACTTATACTTATAGTTAGCACTCATATAGCATATGTGTTTAAAATTTGAGCCTTGCCTGTGTTTGGTTGATTAAATGAGTGCATAATTTTTTATTTTTTCATATTCATCAGATTCAGGTAGAGCTCCATGTGATTCAACAGAAGAAGAATTGAAACATAAAAAGGAAGTCTCTGCAGCAAAATGTAGGGCTGTAGAAGGTATATACTATATGCCTATTAGCAATTTATGTATTTCAACTATTTTTGGAACTGGGAAATATGAAAGGATGGGCAGAGGGGAGGTGGATGTAGATTAATACAGAGCAGGAAATTACGGAAAAGAAGGAACTGGCAGTACTGATATTAGACTTTGTACTCTTAAATTGTGTAACAGTTGTATTCCATTTGTTTGGTTTCATTCCTTTACTACCCAATGTTGACCAAAGTGTAATTTCTCACAACATCTTAATTTAGAGCCTCTTCTAGCAAGAAGGGGCACAAATTTGTTTTTTGGATAGAAAATTGGGTGAGTTGTAAAACACAAGAAAACCTGCCACGATATGTTTTTTTTGTAACTGTCAATAAACTTTAATACCAAGAACATAGCTGGTCGGCAAATGCTGAAAATTAGTGATTTAGAAGTCATAGAACATAATTTTCATATCCTGTCTGTAACGCTTACGTCAACTGAAATTCAATTAAATATAGACTTTGCTTTAGGCGTTTTGTTAACAAGCTGTTGGGACTTTTGTTGATAACAATCTGTCACAATTATTTTGATTACTCGTATCGAGATAAGCAGCCATTTCCAGTAGAAGTTTGAAACGATATAACCTCCTCGTGCGAGGTGATTTTAGCGAGATATGACGCAATCCTTGACCAACCAGAGTGCATGCATCTCTACAGTCACCAGAGGAATTATACCTATCAGTCATTATTATTATCATAATTAGTATTACTATAATTGTTATTTATACAAATTTTCTTGTTACCTATTTTTCCTCCTAACGTCGCTAGTTCCAAAATACATCTCATGTCTCTACACCCTCCTTGGAGTTTAATGCCAATCTTAATTTCTTTTCACATTGTATGTTTTTAGGCGACACTTCTGTGAGCAAGGACAACAGGGAATTGAATCAGTTACACTCTGCCGAAGGAGTCAGTGACGTCACTGAGATGAAATAGACACTTCCTCCTGGATTTCCAGGTGACTCCAGGAACGCAACAGGCAGAACGTCGCTGATGAATGCTGCTTTGAATGGCAACGTTCACGCGGTGAAGAGTATAATGAAAAGGGGAGCAGACCCATCCCTGATGAGCAACACAGGATGGAACACCTTACATTATGCCGCAGCTGGCGGAGACACTAATATTATATCTCTAATCCATACTCACCTGCCCATCATTGACTCAAAAACAACTGAGGGTATCACGCCACTAATGATAGCGGCTGCCAATGGCAAATTACATGCAGTGAAATGGTTTCTTGAGAAGGGGGCAACTGTAACCTGTGAAAACAAGAGAGGATGGAACACGTTACATCATGCCGCACAACGCGGAGACACTGATATTATATCTCTAATCTATACTCACCTGCCCAACATTGAGTCCGAAACAGGCGAGGGTTCAACGCCACTAATAGTGGCGGCTGGCAATGGCAAATTACATGCAGTGAAATGGTTTCTTGAGAAGGGGGCAACCGTAACCTGTGAAGACAAGAGAGGATGGAACACGTTACATCATGCCGCACAACACGGAGACACTGATATTATATCTCTAATCCATACTCACCTGCCCAACGTTGAGTCAAAAACAAGCGAGGGTTCCACACCACTAATGGTGGCGGCTGTCACTGGCAAATTACGTGCAGTGAAATGGTTTCTTGAGAAGGGGGCAACTGTAACCTGTAAAGACAAGAGAGGACGGAACACGTTACATCATGCCGCACTGGGCGGAGACACTGATATTATAACTCTAATCCATACTCATCTGCCCAACATTGAGTCCAAAACAGGCGAGGGTCTCACGCCACTAATGCTGGCGGCTGGCAATGGCAAATTACATGCAGTGAAATGGTTTCTTGAGAAGGGGGCAACCGTAACCTGTGAAGACAAGAGAGGATGGAACACGTTACATTATGCCACACAGGGTGGAGACACTAATATTTTATCTCTAATCCATACTCACCTGCCCAACATTGAGTCAAAAACAAGCGAGGGTAGCACGCCACTAATGATGGCGGCTGGCAATGGCAAATTACATGCAGTGAAATGGCTTCTTGAGAAGGGGGCAACTGTAACCTGTGAAGACAAGAGAGGATGGAACACGTTACATCGTGCCGCACAAAGCGGAGAAACTGATATTATATCTCTAATCCATTCTCACCTGCCCAACATTGAGTCAAAAACAGGCGAGGGTTCTACGCCACTAATGGTGGCGGCTGGCACTGGCAAATTACATGCAGTGAAATGGTTTCTTGAGAAGGGGGCAACTGTAACCTGTGAAGACAAGAGAGGATGGAACACGTTACATCGTGCCGCACAAAGCGGAGAAACTGATATTATATCTCTAATCCATTCTCACCTGCCCAACATTGAGTCAAAAACAGGCGAGGGTTCTACGCCACTAATGGTGGCGGCTGGCACTGGCAAATTACATGCAGTGAAATGGTTTCTTGAGAAGGGGGCAACTGAAACCTGTGAAGACAAGAGAGGACGGAACACGTTACATCATGCCGCACTGGGCGGAGACACTGATATTATATCTCTAATCCATACTCACCTGCCCAACATTGAGTCAAAAACAAGCGAGGGTAACACGCCACTAATGGTGGCGGCTGGCACTGGCCAATTACATGCAGTGAAATGGTTTCTTGAGAAGGGGGCAACTGTAACCTGTGAAAACAAGAGAAGATGGAACACGTTACATCTTGCTGCACAGGGCGGAGACACTGATATTATATCTCTAATCCATACTCACCTGCCCAACATTGAGTCAAAAACAGGCGAGGGTCTTACGCCATTAATAGTGGCGGCTGGCGCTGGCAAATTACATGCAGTGCAATGGTTTCTTGAGAAGGGAGCAACTGTAACTGTTGAGAGCCATGGATGGAATATATTACATTTTGCCGCACTGGGCGGTGACCCTGATACCATTGATCTTATCCTTACTCATCTGCCGGACATTGAGTCAAAAACAGCTGGTGGTGAAACACCTCTTATCATTGCTGTTCGTGAGCGCAAGCTGCAGGGTGCAATGTGTCTTCTTGAGAGGGGAGCCAATCCTTCGGCTAAAGATAACAAAGGACAGGACTCTTTACATCATGCCTCATCATGTGACTCAGATTTCTTTGACTTGCTGCTGAGTCACTTGCCTAGAAGTGAGTCAACAACGGGCAATGATTAACTTAGGTTGGTGGAGTAAGCTTTACAGCTTATTTTATGTTTGCTTAATTCTTCAATATCAAAATGCAACTCACTGGTTTGTTTGTTCCGTCAACTTCAAAGCCATTCTTTTTACTATGTGGTGTATTGCTGCAAATGGAGGTTTTTAACAGGCTGTGTGTTATTCGATATTTTACCAACTAGACCTACGTACAATCTGTACAACCTGTGAGCTGTGCAACAGTTTCGGTATTAAATATCTTATGTCGTTAAAGTTGAACTTGAGCCTGGGCTTCCTGTGGCATGTTGGCTGGGTGTAAGGATTTAGTTCTATTAAGCTAGGTGATTTCAACATTGTGCACACACAGGTATTTTTCTCAGAATTTGGTTATCCAGCTTTTGAAGGCTTTCATGAAATCAAAGTTGTAAAAGTCACCCGAAAACAAAAGTCAGTGGCATGTGGACAGACTCTGTCAGAGCACAGCCATAAGCTTAAAAGATATGAATGATGCGAATGAATCCTATGTTGCGGTGTTAGTGCTAGGCTGCATGAGACGATATGTACCAAGATATACAGCCTCTTAGAGCATTGTGTTCTTGTTCAGTTGTCGTAGGAATCTTCATTTCTCTTCCTAAAATACTCATTGGTTTTGTCTCTTAGATTGCAGATTGCGTGGTGTTGTCAATAGTTGATGTTCTCGTGTGGCTTGTACTATGCAGGAAAAACTGTCAGTGTTGGAGATTTTTTAAAATGAACACACTCTGATAACAGCCTGAAGTATATGTCTGTACAATATTGCCGGTGATTTTATTTTTATCTGGTTAAACGTTTTTAAAATTGATATGATGTTATATAAACTTCACAACGAGGGTGTTTTTTTTTAATAGAACACATTAATTTTAAAGACAGAAGTGAAGATTTCTGCAATGTTACCGGCCTCTTTATTTTTCTTAAGACGTTTTGAAATTAATATGACTATGTTTATTTTTCACAAGTAAAGGGGTTTCTTTTACCATATAACATTTTTGTATTCTAGAACACGTAAATGTAATATAATAGCTGTGAAATTTTATGCAAAAGTTGGAAATATGAACGTTGAACAAGTTTATGAACAAGTTTATGTCCCAAAGCTAAAAATGCGCTTTGGTAACATTTGTACCGAGCTGAAATAGAGGTTTTAAATACTATTTTATATAATGGTACATGGCTTTTACATTTCACACGATGTACAGAATATCTCATTTTTCAAGGACATTTGTTAATAGAATACAGGAAGAAATTTCTGCATTCTGATTGGTTGCAATACAGTTTTCATGTAACGTCAATGCAGAAGAGAGCCAATACAGTACAGAACATTGTTAATTCAGTGAAAAAACGATAACGAACTGTTTAATAGCTTAAATAAGAAAGGCGTGTCGAAAAATTTGCCCTTTGATTAAAGACGTTGATTTGACC